AGAGGTTGGATTGTGCAACTGAGGCTTGGTGGAATCTTATTGACAGTAGCTCGGATACATATCAACAAGGCACAGTGTCTCCACTGCTTGTGTGATGTTCCTTCTATATCTCTAATCTTCTACCTACTGAGATGTATGTTAGAATGCATGGAAGCACAATCACTCCTGTCTGTAGTCTTCTATTTACAAGGAGATATGTTATAAGGCATTGTGGGGTTGAATATCAGGCTTGGGCATGGGCATGGTAAACAAGGTGCCTGCCATGCAAAATGGCCTTATTCTAGTCCATCAACAAATTAGGGAAAGTGTAACACATGCCAAGGGTACATTCAAGTATCTCATAAAATGTCACACTGCCTCATTCTGGGAGGTTTTAGCATTCATCATGGTGAATGGCATTGAAGGACTCATGCCTCCCTTGCTAACATCTACTGAAGTGCTTAACAATGGTGATTTTTGACTTTGCATTTTGCAAACTGACAGGTTTAACTGTGGTACAGTAGACACAATCACCAACAGTCTCTGCACTCTCCAAGTTGATGCAGACATAGTAAGCTCCTCAAACACCCCAAGATCCCCACCCTCAAGTTGTAGGATTCCTCCTGTGTCCACTCCCACATCTCCCACCTACCTGATGACATTGTCACCATCCACATCTCATACCCACACATGTGTGTGCTCTACCCATCATCCATTCTCCCCCCCTCCCTCTTCAGGTCCCCCTGCCAGCCTGATCATCTACACACACATCCATAGCCTTCATGGTCTTCTTTCCAGCCAATATGTTCCTCATGCAAACTCGGATTTAAGCTCCCAGGTCAAGGCTCGAGCTTGACCATTGGGTGGAATAGTATCCCAATATCTTACTTCCCACAGCTATGGCTTATCTGACATGGACATTATCCTCGATTGCTACAGGCAATCTCACTCCATGGAACCACCTGTGGGCGACCAGTTTGTGATGCATCTTGCACAGGAGGGCTTGCCTGTGGCTGAGGGGAACTTCTTGTTGGCTATAATAAGGAGACAGTGTTGACACTGCAATTATAGATACATAAGAAATGCAGTCACAAGTTTGACAAAGGTGTTTTTTCTTTTTTTCAATACAATGATGGGCCAAAAAAAAAAGTACTTTGACAAATGTGTTTTTTCTTTTTTCATTATGATGATGGCCAAAAAAAAAAGGTACTTGGACAAACATGTTTTTTTTTTCATTTTTCATTACAATGATGGCAAAAAAAAAAAAGTACTTGGAGTGATTGAGGTCCACCATTGGCCATTTCCATTTTGAGTTGGACATTTTGCCATTGGACATTCCTTATTTGAGCATGATTGTCCTATGGTGCTGCATCTGTAACATTAAACAAACAAAAATAAAACAGCTGATTGCACGACTTTTGCAGTAATGTGCAGAAAATTTGCAGGTGGCTGTGCCCACAGCTACTGACTAAGCAGGGCATGTGCACAGGGAGAGCAAGTGAGTCAGGGCTACACACACTCCTCGCCCATTCCTTGGGACTCGTTTTGATGCTACTGTACATAACCCATGTAATAATGGGTATTTTGCCAAGAAACGGGCCCAAATTCGCTAGACCAGTGATGACTTGTGGTGCGGAGTGCAGTCACATGAATTTGCAGGTGGCGATGCCGTGGGAATTTCCCGAAGGAGCAATCCCGCCACCAGGCGGGAGGGGCGGGGGAGGGGGTCGAGTGTTCGAGCAGGGCCCTGTGGGGCATCACGGCCTCATGGATTGGGCGGGATGACTGGGGAGGGTGCCGACGAACTGTGTTCACAGTCCTGCCTACGTTTATCTATTTTATCTGCCCTCCTAGCTAGTGCAAAGTGGTACAAGGTGGCTGTGTTAAAAATTATGCAGGGGTAGTATAAAAAGTTGTGCAGGAGCAGTGCTGCAAAAGTCACACAATCAGCTGTTTTATTTTTGTTTGTTTAATGTTACAGATGCAGTGTCATATTGTCCGGCTTTCCATAACTTTCTGTGTGAGAATTTTGGATACGTCCCGCCATCAGCAGCAAAATCGAAGAGTGTGGGCAGTCAACACCCCTTAGGGAAACGTCTTTCCCCCTCATCACCTAGAGAGAATACTCCTTCATTACACGCCGCAACCTACTTGATGACAGAGATCCAGCGACGGGCTGTTTCCCTGCACACCCACACTTTTGGAAGGAATGTCGACGGTGCTCTCTAGGAAGTGGACAACAGTAGGCACAGCGCAAACTGTCCTAAGCCTGGTATCATACAAGCGTATACTTGCCATAGCCGTCTCGTCAACCTCATCTCAAACGTTCAAGTATGGTGTGGGGAACAAATTGGAAATTGGAATGATTACCTCAGCTTCACCTTGCTCGTTCCAACCAGATCCGACTTGTAAATATTGCTGAGCGCTAACTTGGCAGGGCTACTGATCGTGGCGACCACCAGGGGAGGATGGCACTCTTGACGACGACATGACCACATAGCAAGGCAAGGACAACAACAGCACGACAATGACGCCAATGACGACGACTCTTTTCCGGCCCCATACCGTGTCCTTTCACCCGTCTTCGTCCTACCATTGTCCTTGCATTCACACTACCTAATAAATGTCCCCGTCACCTTCGTATAAAATGTCGGTTCGTTGGGCAAGTCTCCCTCAGCGTCAATACCTACCGGCAACTGATCATCGTGATGTTCCGTTTCCTTTGCATCGCGTTTTTATTGCTCTCTGCTCAGTTGGCTTTCGTTCACGCAGACGATTCAACGCCGCGTATACACAACTCACATACGTCCGGGGCTCTCATCGGACCCTTGGGGCGTAGGACAGCGATGGAAGTAGCATTGACGGGGTTAGCAGCACTGGTGGGGGTAGCAGAGGCTTATCCGCAGGTTTATCTGCTTGGCAGACTGCCGGTCTTGCTGTGATCCTTGGCGGGCCACTGGTCGGTACTGCGCTTTAACACAGCTTGAACATTCAAAAATGATACCTTCCATTCGCACGTTCGAACATTTCCTTGTTCCTTCTACCCTCTAGGGTTCATACCTGTCCTGTTGGGACCGCGCTTTGAAGTTGGGTGGGGTTGTCGTACACGTAGAGATCGTTACGCTGCAAATTGGGAGGGCTTGTACGTCCGAAGATGTCGTCCGCGTGGACTTATCTTCGTGTAAAATTAATATACCCCTTTATTATCGTGGGCTGGAATTGAGTGCTGTGTATGGTAAGAGAGGCCGATGTTTGGGACACAGTCAACGTGCAGGAAATTAACGGAGGCCGCACCTTGAACGGTGTAAGAGAATGCCAGGTCGTCCGTAGAATAGCTTTTCGCAAGTTGTTTCTACTGCACACCGCCCCCACTCACCCGCATCACGGGGAGGATCCATTAAATAATAATGTGTACTTCCGGTGCACCGCTTTCCGTCCAGCTGCGTACAGAAAGCCGGACAACGAGTGACTGAGGTTGGGTGGCGAGGGAGCTTGAGTGTTCGGTGGTGGCTTAACAAGTTGAAGCGAACGCGTTGCTTGGATGTTGGTTGTCGGAAATTTCCGGCGCCTAGTGTTCAACTTTACTGGCACTTGTACAAGATACATACTTACACTTACATGAAGTAAGCACGGGTTCCGTCTCTAATTTTCACTCTGGCCCGACGGGCGTGGAAGAGTCTGGTCTGTTGTCTTCTGTTGGCTAACACCAACCATGACATGTGTTCTCCAGTAGCAGAATCTCGTAACGTTGGCACAGCGCAGCTCAAAAGCTCATATTGGCAAGTTACACCGCTCATTCAATTTCCGGTTGAAATAAATAGCTAAGCATATTGGGAACCGACCTTCGCCACGGAGAGAGCCGGAAAAACAGCCTCACCTGCTACTTCCACTGGCTTCACAACGGCGGATGTAAGTCCATATCATAATGCGTGTCTCGGTACGAGCGAAAATCGATTGCACTCGTGCGACACTGTAATACCTTCTACACTTTCCGCAGTTTAAGGGAAATGGAGATAAAGTGTCAGTACCCTTGCTAGTGTGTCGGAGGGGCGTTGCTATTCATTTGATCGTTTCTACCAAAATCCGATGACACTGCCCATCTCATGCATCTCATATGTCGGAGGAGACCAGTTGAACCACAACGATGGTAGTAGTTGGTTCCGAAGTTGCTCATGAGGTAAGTCTTTCGTTCTGGACGCGGGAGGGATGTGGAAAGGTGTGATATACAGCTACCCCCGTATGCCGTTGTATCACGTCTCCCAGCTTTGTCTCAGGCCTGGTTGTTCTTCCCACAAGTTGCGTGTGTGTATTGTGATCAATCATAGGCAGCTGTTTTTGCATCACGAGGCATCCGACTATCCCGTGCTTTCCCCAGTGCCGACAGCGACCATTGGAAGGCAAATGCGGTCACCTCGCATTGCGTGTACAGGATTTTCGCTCCAATAACCGGAATGGTTCCAGCATATCAGTGATCAATCACTTCATCGTCCCGCGATAGCTTCGGAATTCTGAATCGCGCATAGTACCGCTAGCACGTGGTGTGGTTGCTAGACTTGAAGCAGCAGCACATCCCGGTAAGTACCGTAGAGGAGAACTAAAGTTCAGCACGTTCGGTCCGTGGCAAGTCTAAATCAGACTTTTTTAAGGTGTGTGCAGTGTTTTGGGATTCAAATCGAGTCCTGGGCGCAATATATCATCCAATTTAGTTTGTCGATATGACACAGCAAACCGCGGTTGATCAATACTCACTGTATATGGGTATGGGGGAGTCTATCCATTCCAACCCGACACGGCAATGATTTTACACGACGTACTACTCCGACATTGGTCTCTCGGGCTCCTCTGCAGCTCTCGATCACATCGGACTTACGCTAAGATGAGGTCGCGTACATGGCAGTCGTACACTATAAAATGATCATGAAGTGGCCATGGAGGAAGCACTGAACAACTCAACCCCTCTGCGCTGTGTTCTTCTTGTCACTACTCGTCACTTCATCTCTTGCAGACTACCTACTACCAAGATGAATAGCCTCCCCCCTGTGCCCATTGTCTCGCTCACTGCAGAGCTTGCGGAGCGACTTCGCGAACAAGCGCTGGACGTACTGTCGTACCTCGTGAAGACCAACTTCTGCTACTACCTACTTCAAGGAATCCGATGCCCTACAGCAATTTCGGGCTGCTCTTAATCTCACCGATGGCGGTAACCAAATAGACGCTCTGGAACACTCTGTGGAAAAGTTGTTCGAGGTCTATCACAATAGCATAGGATTGAGTGTCTACGAGGACTATCTCCCCGTTATCTCCCGCTTCTTCGAGCCCACGTGCAGCAAGTCCTCGGTGGAGAACTTGATGGCTCCTGGTCTTCCCATCTTTATTGCACACTCCTCAGGCACCTCCGGGGGCGCAGCAAAGTACTTCCCCAAATACCGTCACCCAGACCACATGTCAAGGGCGACGACTGAGACTGTCCGACTTGCCGACCCGCAGAGCAAGAGCGGAACGGGCAAGAATTGTATCATGATTTCCCTCGCATACCGTCAGGTCGTGACTCCCCTTGATGAAGATGGAGACGTAGCCAAATACATACCTGTTTGCTTGCTGACGAGCGGTTTGGGCCGCATAGAAAACAATATGGTAGGCTCTATTAGGAAAAAACCAGTCTTCCTAGCTTGAACTCACCATACCATCTGCTTGCAGCCTGTGGAGAGAGACTGCCTTTCTCTGCCACTCTCAAGGGTCTGTTTAGTTTGCTTCTCTTGCACAACACCCCAGTGACTCCCATCCACAGTTCCTAACTACTCGTCGCCCGCTGCTGTCTCTTTTATCTCCCACTACAAATCGTTCCTCTTCATGCACGCTCTCTTTGCATTGGTGGAACCCAAACTCGAGACCATCAATACCATATTCACGACTTCATTCCGGGATTTATGTCGCACGGTTGACGATCATTGGGAGGATCTTGTTCACTGCATCGAAACGGGCGTCATACCCGATATAGACGGAATCGAGGCCGTGAAGGATAATCTTCAGGTTCGTCTCTGCGACGGCAGTGCCAAAGGCCATCACCTGTGCGGGCGCTGATTCTCCGCTTTTCTTTACAGCGTTTCCTTCAGCCCAACCCAAGGTCGTGCCGAGGAGTTGCGCAGGATTGGAAAGGCAACTGATACCCCTGGATGGTTCAAACAGATTTGGCCACAACTACATGCAATTCTGGCAAATGCAAGTGGTCCATTTGCTACAGTCATCCCAGAGGTAAGTTATAACCCTTCCGTCCCGTATCCTGGTGTGTCCTGACACACTCGACCATGTAGATCCGGCATTACATTGGTCCCGAGGTATATCTGCAGACGTTGGCTATTGGCAGTAGCGAGGCGTTTTTGGCTGTAGCGTACGATCCAAGGACCTTAACCTGTACAAGCTTGTGGGTTCCGACGACGTCATCGAGTTCCTACCTGTGGACGACCCGGAGGAATACAAATACCTCACTCAATCTGTGAGTTCATGTTTGTCTTGCGCGCTTGCACGAAGCGCCAACCCCTTTTTGAATCAGTGGAACGTCGAATCGGGAAAGAAATATGAAGTAGTTCTGACAACGAGAGATGGATTCTGGCGGTATCGCCTTGGCGATGTCGTTGAGATCGCGGGATTCGACCCTCGCGATGGACAACCCCTTATCAGGTACATCGAGGTACGCTTCTTTCTCTCTAGTCAGTTTGTTGTATCTGACTTCCCAGTTCATTGTAGCGGCGAAAGTAAGTGTTCGAACTTCCCTGGTACATGAATACGTGAGTTAAGGGCGGATATATCATTTTTAGCATGCACATCCGCCTTGCAAACGAGGTGACAACAGAAACGCAGCTGCGCCAAGTCGTCGATGCAACGTCAGACTTGTTTGGAAGAGTTTCAGAGTTCTGCGTTTCCCCTGACTACCGTCAGGCTGTTGCTCGGTATGCATTCATTGTAGAATTACAAGGAAATCCTGGTGAGTCTCTGAGTGTTCTTGGGGAGACGCACCCTCCGGATTCGAGCGCAGCCTGATAAAACCAAATTTCTTTCAGGCGCGAACATTTCTGTGGTACCCGAGGCCTTGCATGACCAACTGCAGAAACACAACGAGAATTACCTGAAAGATAGCCGAATAGGAAAAATCGGCGTACCCTGCGTTCGGGTAGTTGGACCTGGGACAGTTCGGCTGACTTCAGAGAGTGGAAGGTCAAGACGAAGGGTACTGCCTCTGGACAAGTTAAGGTGCCCTGTTGTGGTCTGGGGCGAGGCCGACCGTGCATGGCTTGGAAGAACAGGTTATGTATGATATCTGATGGAGCGTGAAACGAGGGAGGGTTAATAGTAGTGTCTTGTTGTGATAGACTGAATTCATATAATCACGTCATATGAAGTGTAACTTAGTGTACTTTTCTTCGTGCTGCTTATTCTTTGCGACTCGGTTATGGAATGAAAGGATTGACGCTTCTGCAGCTAGAAGGTTGGAACATGTAGAGATCAGGTGCAGTAAATGACTGTATTTTATGTACTGCCCGAGGTTGTAAAGAGTGCCAATACTGCCTGTTGGTGCACTAACAGTGGGGCGGGTCAAGCGGACGAGAGTAGGCTCCAACCTTTGGGCAGTGCAGCGTAGTGCACGGTCCGACTGCCTAATAGTTTTAGCACTGCACGACACAGACGATATTCATTAGTCAAGTTTATGACTGGCTGGCAGGTTTTCAGGTCACTACTGTCACCTGACATAAATAAACTTTGGAAAATGGTCAAAACTTAGTGAGAGTACTGCTTGGACAACCATAGCGGACGATGGTGGGCCAAAGCATGCAGGAGCGAGCATGCAGGAGCGAGCATGCAGTTCTACATTCAATGTACATACTACGTACCGATACTGTAGGATCATGGTTTAGATAAGTTTCCCTTCTACTCGACGAAGTTACCTTCAAGCATCTACGTAAGCAGATCACTTTTCGTAGCACCTATCAAGAGATACCTGTGCGGCTTAGTCGACCACCATGTCGGGAGATATCCCCTTCTCTAGAATCATGAAAAGGCGTATGTTCAGGTCATTAAGCCTGACCTCTACGTGCTGCACCCTCCACAGGCAAAACCTCTGAGGGCACCGTGATAAGCCAGTACAAAATGAGGCACATGATCAGGAAGCCCACGACTAAACTAGCTACAAAAGTCTCCACAGGGTAATCCTGAGCGTCTATTTGGTTACCGCCGTCGGTGAGATTAAGCGCAGCCCGGAACTGCGGTAAAACATTGGATTCCTTGAAGTAGGTAGTAGCAGAGTTGGTCTTCACGAGGTACGACAGTACATCCAGCGCCTGTCCGCGAAGTCGCTCTACGAGCTCTGGAGTGAGTGAGGTAATGGGTGCGGGAGGTAGGCTGTTCATAATGGAGTGAAGAGTGATGCTAAGAAGAACAAAACGCAGAGGTTAGAGGTTAAGTTGATCAGTGCTTCCCCCATGCTCAGTCCATGATCACTTTATACTGTACGACTCTGATGTGCGCGACCTCATCGTTGGCGTAAGTCCGGTTACCTCGATATGATCGGGAGCGCGAGGGGAACTTGGGAGGCCAACGTCGTACTATGTCGTGGTAAGATCATTTGGATTAAGCAACTTCTCGATATCCATATACAGCGAGTATTTGATCATGTGTTTTGCTGTGTCATCTCGACAAGCCAAATTGAATTATATATTGTGCCCGTTATCAAAACCGGAAAATCCTGTACATGTGATGTGAGTAGATCTCACGGTGATCGGTCTTTCCCTCCAATAGTCGCCGTGGGCACTTAGAAAATGCGGAATACTCGGGTGCCTCGTGATACGATGACGGCTGCCTATCACAATACACACGCACAACTTGTGAGGGGGAACAGCCAGGCCTGAGATAAAACCGGGAGACACGATACAACGTCGTGCAAAGTTAGCTGGATATCATACTGTTTACATCTCTCCAGCTTTCGAAATTTTTGTCATTGACCACGTACCGCAACTTCGGAACCCAACTACGACCCTTACTGTGGTCTAACTGATCTCCTCCGGCGTGTGAGATGCACAAGGTGGGGGATGTCATCGGATTTGGGTAGAAACGATCAGAAATGGACAGCAACGCGCCTCCGACGTACCAGCAAGAGTACTTCCTGACAACTTGTCTCCTTTTTCCTTAAACTGCGGCAAGTCTGGGAGGAATTCCAGCGTCGTCTTCGCTGAGTCGTACTGAGGCACACCTTCTGAATGGAATTTCATCCCGTCGTGAAGCCAGTGGAAGTCGCAGGTGAGGCTGTTTTGTCCGCTCTCTCCGTGACGCAGGGTAGGTTTTCAATATACCTCGCAATGGATTTCGGCCGGCATGGGCGGTCTAACTTACCAATGGTTTCTACGAGCTCTTTGAGTTGGGCTGTGCCCACGTTACGAGGTCCTGCCGTTATGGAAAACATATCATGATCGTGTTAGCCGGCCGCGCTTGCCAGGTTGAAGGCGATCGACCGGACTCTCCCACGCCCGTGGGGCCAGAGTGCGGAAATTTGAGATGGAATCCGTATGTACTTCCTGCATGCAAGTGTATCTTGTACAAGTGGTAAAGTTGTACACTAGGCGCCAGGAATTTCTGACAGTCAACAGCCAGGCAACGTGTTCCCTTCAACTTGCTAAGCCACCACCGAACACCGTCACCTAATCTCAGCCACTCGTTGTCCTGCTTTCTGTACGCAATTGGACGGAAAGTGGTGCACCATAGGTACACATTATTATTTAATGCACCCTCCTCATGATGTGGATGAGTGGGGGCGGTATGCAGTAGAAACAACTCGCGAAAGGCTGTTCCACAAACGATCTGGCATTCTCTCCTTACACTGTTCAAGGTGCGACCTTCGTCAATTTCCTGCACGTTGACTATGCCACAAACATCGGCCTCTTTTACCATACACAGCACTCAATTTCCGCTCATGGTGATAATAAAGGGTATATTAATTTTACACAAAGATATGCGCTCTCGGACAACATCTTCATACACAATCAGTTTATAGCACAAAGCTCTCTACGCGTACGACAACCCCACCCAACTTCAAAGTGTTCCCAACGCCCGGCCTCGCTGCCGCATTCCCACCGGGATACTTGATCGTTACGAACCCTGAAGGGTAGAAGGAATAAGAAAAATGTTCGAACGTTCGAATGGAAGGTATCATTTTTGAATGTTGGAGATCTGTTAAAACGCAGCACCGAACAGTGGCGCGCCGGCGATCGCTGCAAGACCGGCAGCCTGCCAAGTAGATAACCCTGCCGACGGGCCTCTGCTACCACCACCAGTGCTGCTAACCCCGCCAATGCTACTTCCACCGCTGACAATACCAGTGCAGAAATCCGTCCCAGTCGAGCAAGTTGAACCAATAGGGCAACCTGGATACGGTATAAGTAAATGAAAACATATCATAACGTCGGAGGACAGGGTACCCACAACCACCAATTTGGTCATTGCAGCAGAAGGAACCGACGCTGCAGCATTCATTGTCAGTACACTGTTCTGTGAAGATGTTCTGTGAGACTAGTGTGAAGAAGGATCGCAGGTAGAGTGTCATACGATCACCAGTGGGACATTCTAACGACTGCCTCTGCGCGAACTTTGCGCTACGCCCCAAGAGTCCGGTGAGAGCCCTGGGCGTGTGTGAGTTGTGTACACGCGGCGTTGAATCGTCCGCGTGAACGAAAGTGAGCTGAGCAGAAAGCAATAACAGCGCGATGCAAAAGAGACGGAACATGACGAAGGTCAGTTGCTCAGGGGACGCTGAGGGAGATTTGACAATTGAACCGACATTTTATATGAGGGTGACGGCGGAGGGAAAGCGGGGGAGTCATGGGTTGCTGTAATTAACCTTTTCTCTATCAAGTTTAGATCTAAAGGTTGAGTTGCTGTGAAGTTATTGTTGGCGTCATGTAATAGTAACCTTTTCTTTACTATCGACCAGGACTGTCCATCAGGAAAATAACACTTTACTATTTTTGACTTTTTGTGACTAATGTGACTTTTTGGGAAGGAATCAACTATCATACCCATGTCCTGCAGGCATGGCTGCACTGTTCTTGCTTATTTTGGTCTTGTTCAAACCACCTAATTCATAGCTTTCAGTAGATACCACATACATTCAAATTGATGGAGGTTCCAAAGAGATATTGTGATTTTTCTCTCAGACAGTGTGCATCACACCAATGGCTCAATATCTCTGAATTTTCAGACATTTTCTAGTCTTCTTGGCTTAGATATATCATCACTTAGTTGTCTCAATAGATTCTGTTCTCTTTTCATTCTTCAAAATGCTGTATATGGTCAAGAAAAAAAGTACAGATAGTAGGTTCCTTCCCAAAAAGTCACAAGTAGTCACAATAGTCACAAAAAAGTCAAAAAAAGTCACAAAAAGGTCAAAAATAGTAAAGTGTTAATTTCCTGATGCACTCGTAAACGACTTGCCTGTGTGAGGGACAACCAAGAACATAAATAGGAACTAGACAAGCACTTCACCATTGTGTGTATTATGTGCATACGTACGAGGCAGTGTCAACCTTGTCCATTTCCGCCAACCTGCCACCCATGTACGTCAGACAAATTCAACGTTCCACAAGACTTCGCGTAAGGGGTGCCGTCCGGGACCGCACAGCCCCATGGCATCAATACAAGGTTCAGCAGCAGAGACGTATGTAAAGCCAGACGGTCGCGCTTCGTTTCTGCTTTTTGTCTGAAATCATTCTTCATTTGGCAATTTTCAATTTTTCAATTTTTCACTTTGCAATTTTCATTTTTCATTGTGTTTTTCACTGGAACAGGGCCGTCGCCGCCTGCGGGCGCCTTGTTCACCACGCCGGAGCGCTGCACACGCCAAACGCACCAGATGAACCAGCAGCATACGTGCTGTGAATACGATGTACAGTTCGAGCTGTAAGTGGCTGGTGAGATTTTGCCGTGCGGAGTTGATTTAGAGGCATATGCGCGGATATCGAAAAAAGCGTCTCAGTTTCGGGCTGGAGTTTCCTTGTAAATTGTAAACAAGGTGACTTTGCGGTTGTCACTTTTCCATTTTTCTCAAACTGACTTTGTCAATTTTTAAAAGTGAAAACTCGAATCACATAAGTCAAAAATGTCCAAGTCAAAGTATCAAAGTGCGATGTCAGAATGTCATGTGAGCCAAAACATGTTAACATGTCCAGGCGTGTTGTTGTGACAGCATTGCTCTCAGTGCGTCTGGAAAGATTCTGCGTCATGAACTTCGAGAGCGTGCTGCGTCAGATATGGTGTGTGATCAGATTGGAGTCCGTGCTAAACTGTGAAGGCGGGTATTGCTGCGAGAGTGGTTTTCTGTGCACTATGTCTCGCGACGGCGGGAGCCTGTTGGAACGGGAAGACTAGTTGGTTTGTTTGCCATATTCCGCTGTTTTTGGAACTCTATCTCGTCCCTAGGAGACGCACCGCTTCCAACTTTGGGGCGCTCCCAACGTCAGAAGGTTGTCGCAAGGTAAATCACCTTTTCACGTTTGTTCCGTTGCGGTTTGATGCCCAGGAAATGCCACCTTTCTTGTTGGAATATGCCATTCATCCGAGTCCGCTTGACTACCAACTGTCGAGTAGCGCAGAGAGACTGGTCGACGTCGTTAGTACGACTGGGTCACGAGAGTAAGTTGCAATAATTATATTTCCCCGATCACAACGCACAAAAGGAATGGATTAATGTTCTATGGCGAACGGAGAAATGGAACCATGACAAAAGCAATGGCGATTGCTGCTGCTTTTATCACGGTTCTATTCCTCCATTCGCCGATGACACAGCAATATCTCGGCCGACAAGGTCAACCACAATTCCTGTGCTTTACGTTGTTTGTTTCCTTCCTGTGGCCGGAGATTCAAGTGCTAAATGTTCCAATCCCCACCATGTCGGTCGCCGAAGCGCTCTTGCGGACCCTTGTCCCCTTCCCGAAGTTACTCATTGCCATTGCCAAACGATGTTCCTCTGCAACATCAAATTTGCTGCGATACCTCTTTTCGTTGTGGAACGCATCAGCTCAGAAGTGGAAACGAGAACATTCGTTGGAAGACGACGCAGATCCCTCGAGATTGCCTGGCATAGGTGCAGAGGCGGGTGCCAGCGTCGAGAGTGCTACGACATTATGCTCCGAGGATGAAGGTTCGGCCTCGGGTCGCAGACTTTTGCCATATGGAACTGAGACAGTGAGCAGCTTTCTTGACAAGTCATGTATCTTCATGACCTGATGTTGGCGTCAAGCCCGCAGCTATGCTGTCTGCCGAGGGTAGAGGTTCCAACTTGAGCATTCCGCAACCCAGCGTGTGTCGCAGCACGAATCCACTCGAGTCGAACCCCCCAAATTATCCACCAACACACGACTAATCAGAGTTAATACGTGACACCGGAGTCACGATCTCGGTGTCCAGACTGACCCTGTCGCATCCAAGTCTACAGGGCAGCGCACCTCCTATCAGCACAGTGCTATTACTGTTAGATCTATGGTTCTGGTTTATCTCATTCGACCGTCCCGGGTTTATCAAACGCTCCCTTAGAGCTACACGGAGTCATCATCACACGGACGGCAAGGAGTGGATAGTTTTCTCGCAGAAGTTTCAAAACGACGTCGACAACGTCACTCTGCTTGTAAGTCGGATCATGAGTGCAACATACGTATCCCATAATGAGTTCTTGCAGGCTACCGTCCTGCTGAGCGGCAATCCCAGTTTTTTGAGTCTTATCGCCCAGAATGGGTTGTCGTACTCGCCTGAACGGCTTAGTTACTCGTCCCTCTTGTCTGCGTTGGGAAGTATCTGGGTGGGACTGGCGGTTCATACACCGAGATTCTTGGTGAGTGATCATAAAGCTTGGTTCAGTGGTCGGTCTCATTGAAGTAACATTCAGCCAGACTTCTCGATATTTTGTTTCGAAGTTATGGTATGCATACCAGCGCTCCCATCCGTTCTCTTCCTATATAGGTGCGTAAGAAGCGCGCTTCATTAGGTGTGACTATTGGCGAGCACGTTTTATAGCATTATTTTTTATTTATTTCCGCGCTCATTGCGCACTTCAGCACCAATACAGTGACGGAAGAGGAGTTATTCGAGATCTATCACAATAACGTAGGATTGAGTGTTTACGAGGACTATCCCCCCGTTATCTCGCGCTTCTTCGAGCCCACATGCAACAAGTCCTCGGTGGAGAACCTGATGGCGCCTGGTCTTCCCGTCTTTATTGCACACTCCTCGGGTACCTCGGGCGGCGCAGCAAAGTACTTGCCCAAATACCGTCACCCAGACCACATGTCAAGGGCGATGACTGAGACAGTCCGACTTGCGAACCCGCAGAGCAAGAACGGCACCGGCAAGAACTGTATCATATTTTCCCTTGCATACCGTCAGGTCGTAACTCCTCTTGATGAGGATGGAGACATGGCCAAACACATACCCGTTTTCTTGCTGACGAGCGGTTTGGGCCGCATAGAAAATAATATGGTAGGCTGTATCAGGAAAAAACCAGTCTTTGTAGCTGAACTCACCATACTTGCTTGCAGCCTGTGGAAAGAGATGATTTCGCTGCCACTCTAAAGAGTCAGTTTAGCTTGCTTCTCCTGCACAATTCCTCATTAACCCCCATCCACAGTTCCTAACTACTCGTCGCCCATCGCCGTCTCCTTCATCTCCAACTACAAATCGTTCCTCTTCATGCATGCTCTCTTTGCATTGGTGGAACCCAAACTCGAGACCATCAACAGCATGTCCACGACTTCATGCCGGGATTTATGTCGCACGGTTGACGATCATTGGGACAATCTCATTCACTGCATCGAAACGGGCGTCATACCAGATGTAGACGGAATCGAAGGCGTGAAGGATAATCTTCAGGTGCGTCTCTGCGACGGCAGTGTCAAAGGCCATCACCATGCGGGTGCTGAATCTCCGCTTTGCTTTACAGCGTTTCCTTCAGCCCAACCCAGATCGTGCCGAGGAGTTGCGCAAGATTGGCAAAGCAACTGATACCCCTGGATGGTTCAGACAGATTTGGCCACAGTTGCGCGCGATTCTGGCAAATGCCAGTGGCCCATTTGCCACAGTCGTCCCAGAGGTAAGTTATAACCCTTCGTCCCGTATCCTGGTGTGTCCTGACACACTCAACCATGTAGATCCGGCATTACATTGGTCCCGAGGTATCTGTGAAGACGTTGGCCATTGCTAGTAGCGAGGCGTATTTGGCTGTGGCGTATGGTCCAAGAGACCTTAACCTATACAAGGTTGTCGGTTCCGACGACGTCATCGAGTTCCTACCTGTGGACGACCCAGAGGAATCCAAATACCTCGCTCAGTCGGTGAGTTCATGTTTGTCTTGCGCGCTTGTGACGAAGTACTGATCCCTTTTGAATCAGTGGAACGTCGAATCGGGAAAGAAATACGAAGTAGTCCTGACAACGAGAGATGGATTCTGGCGCTATCGCCTTGGCGATGTCGTTGAGATCGTGGTATTCGATCCTCGCGGGACAACCCCTTATCAGGTACATCGAGGTACGCTTCTTTCTTTCCAGTCAGTTTGAGGTATCTAATTGCTCGTTCACTGTAGCGGCGAAAGTGAGTGTTGGAACTTCCCCTGTACATGAATGCACGAGTCAATGGCGGATATATCATTTTTAGCATGCACATCCACCTTGCAAACGAGGTGACAACAGAAACGCAGCTGCGCCAAGTCGTCGATGCAACGTCAGACTTGCTTGGAAGAGTTTCAGAGTTCTGCGTTTCCTCTGACTACCGTCAGGCTGTTGCTCGGTATGCATTCACTGTAGAATTACAAGGAAATGCTGGTGGGTCTCGGGATATTCTTTGGGGAGACGCACCCTCCAGGCTCGAGCGCAGCCTGATAAAACCAAAGTTTCTTCCAGGCGTAAACATTTCTGTGGTACCTGATGCCTTGCATGACCAACTGCAGAAACACAATGAGAATTACCTGAAAGATAGTCGAATAGGAAAAATCGGCATACCCTGCGTTCGGGTGGTTCGACCTGGGACATTCAGCGACTTCAGAGAATGGAAGGTCAGGACGAAGGGTGCTGCCTCTGGACAGGTTAAGGTGCCTGTTGTGATCTGGGGCGAGGCCGACCGTGCATGGTTGGAAGGACGGGTTATGTATGATATATGATGGAGCGTGAAACGAGGGAGGGTTAATAGTATTTCTTGTTGTGATAGAATTCATTTAATCATGCCATATATGTGTAACATAGTGTACTTTTCTTTGTACTGTTTACTCTTTGTGAGTCGGTTATGGAATGAAAGGCTTGACGCTTTTGCAGCTAGGAGGCTGAACCATAGGCTTGCAGAGATCAGGTGCGGTAATCACTCAGTTGTCACGTACTGACTTTCATCAGCCGGTTGTTCCGGCGGATAGTTTCCGGACGTTGGACTCGAGCAGATTCGTGTTGTGTGGCATGGTAAATTGCATACCGCTCGGATTGGAAATTCTACCCTCGACAGACGTATATCTGTGGACTTGACACCAATATCATGTCATGAAGATCTATAACTGGTTAGGAAAACAGCTCACTTGCCCCCAGCCAGGTGGCGAACGTCTGCGACCCGAGGCTGAGCCTTCAGCCTCAGAGCATAATATCGTAGCACTCTCGACGCTGGCACCCGCCTCCCCACTAACGTCGGGCGATCTCGAGGGATCTGCGTTATCGTCCAACGAATGTTCTCGGTTCCACTTCTGAGCTGATGCGTTCCAAAACGAATAAAGGTATCGAAGCAATCGTAGAGTTGTAGAGGAACATCGTCTGGCAATGGCGACGAGTAACCGGGAAAGGACCAAGGGTCCGCAAGAGCGCTTCGACGACCGACATGATGGTGATTGGAATAATTAACAGGATGGAAACAAACAACATAAAGCACAGGGTTGGATCTGTGGTTGGCCTTGTCAGCCAAGATATTGAACCATGATAAAAGCAGCAGCAGCCACGACTGCTTTTGTAATAGTTCTATTTCTCCATTCGCCACAGAACATTAGTCCATTCCTTTTGTGCGCAGTGATTGGGGAAACATAATTATTGCAACTTACTCTCGTGAATCAGTCGTATTAACGACGTCGACCCGCCTCTCTGCGCTACTCAACAATTAGTCAAGCGAACTCGGACGAGTGGCATACTCCAACGGGAAAGGTGGTATTTCCTGAGTATCAAACTGCAACGGAACAAACGCGAAAAGGTGATTTACCTTGCAACAACTGGTAGTCAAGCGCACTCGGACGGGTGGCATATTCCAACAAGAAAGGTGGTGTTCCTGAGTATCAAACTGCAACGAGACAAGCACGAAAAGGCGATTTACCTTACAACAGCCTTCTAGCGCTGGGCACGCCCCAAAGCTGGAAGTCTGGTAAACAGTTTGATCAGTTCGAATGGTATTGCAGGGGTGCGTCTCCTAGGTCAACATGGAATCCCAAAAACAGCGGAACATGGAAGACAAACCAACTAATCTCCTTGATCCAACAGGCTCCCGCCATCGTAAGACAAAACACACAGGAGCCTACTCTCGCAGCAATACCCCCATCACAGTTTAGCACGGACTCCAATCTGACCATATACCATGTCTGACGCAGAACGATCACGAAGTTCACGACGTAGAATCTTTCCAGACGCACTGAGAGGAATCTATCACAGCGACACGCCTGGATATGTTAACAGACATACCTCTTCGGAATATGTTCTACCAGAACAATTCCCCCACGTAGCTTCTTGTGTGGAGCAACTCGTTGAGCGACCCATTTTTGAATGCCTAGCGCAAACGTCTCTGCGTTCTCCTTCGCGACAGCTCGTGCAGGGACGATATAAGCCCTAGGAAAACGAATCAGAAAAGTGCACGAGATGTACGTGCCGTACAGAACCCGTCCGCGCAGGTTGGGACTCTAGGGGGTACGCACCTAGGTAATTCTGTTGTCTCCGTGCTTAGTACACCGATGACCGCTGCATCTGCCACATCAGGATGTTGCAAGAGTAGCGACTCGAGCTCGGCAGGTGGCACTGCGTGGAATGTGGGTGACGTTGGGAAAAGAGAAAAAATATCATCCCTACCTTGGAACCCCTGATCATTGGTGAATCATGTGAACCGTGATGAGACAGCCTCAAGACTGTGTCCCGCGAACGCACCTTGTATTTAATCAGCTCCTTCCGTCTATCGACGATCGTGAAGAATCCATCTTTACTGCAGATAGCGATGTCACCCGTTTTGAACCAGCCATCGTCGGTGATGGCTGCAGCGGTGGCTGACGGGTTGTTGAGGTAGCCCTAGTAACAGTGAATACCACGAGCGTCAAACGGAAGTCGAGAAAAGAGGTAAGTACATTCACAGACCTTCATGACTGTCGGTCCTCTTACCCATACTTCTCCACCACCTTCAATATCAGTCAAAACCTGTATTGCACGCTTTAACTAGTCAAAAAACCACCAGCGCGAACACGTACCTCTCCATTGTCCTCACGAGCTAGTCGAACCTCTAGGTTGGGGAGTGCTACTCCCACAGAGCCCGGATGATGGTACGCATGTTTGTCAGGCAGTATGAACACGATGGGCGACGTCTCCGTAAGGCCATACCCTACATCCCGCGGAGGAAAGATCAGCCTCATATCCAGTGGTCCGAGTAGATCGATTTTCTGGCACCATACCCTGAGTGACAGTGACGTTATACCCCGCCCCCTCAAAGCGTTTCTTAACGGCCAGTACCAAGTCCCGGCTGAGCGGTGCAGCTCCACTGAGTACTGTACGGAGGGAGCCGAGATCGTATTTGTTGAAGGCTGTGAATGAGCATGTCAGTTCTACTTGTTTTCGTTGAATACCAGGCCATCTCCGCCCCGTCTCGGAATGGAAGAGACGATACCTGCCTTCGTGGCGAGCAAATACGGTCAGTATGGGAGGAACAAGCACCAGACCTGTTGCACGATACTTCTCTACTGCCTTGAAGAATGTTTCGAGAACGAACCCAGAGGTGACGACGCTCGGTGTGCAAAGAGCAATCGGAAGTAGAAGAAGCGTCACCAGTCCATAGATATGAAAGTAGGGAAGAGATCCAAGGGCGACATCTGGCTGCTCAGGTCCAGTCACTTCCGCTAAGGATGCCGTGAGACAAGGTCTCGTGTTCGGCCATAGGGGTTTAGTCATGTCGACAACGGAAGTTACATTGTAATGGGTAGTCTGTACGCCTTTGGGTTTTCCCGTAGTTCCTGAGGAGTAGCAAAGATAGGCTGTCTCTTCAGACCGCTCTCCGTCGAAGTTCACTTCACAAGAAAGCTGCCCGCGACCAAGAAGGTTCTCGAGACAGACGAAACCTGATGCACCCGATATCTTAGTATCTGGTACACCTGTGAGCCAACCCGAGGTAGCCGCAATAACTCTGGAGTGCATATCCGAGCACCCGATTGAAGTCAGCATCTTCTTCACGGTGTCAAGTAGTGACGGGTGGACGAAAATAAGATGAGCACCGGCGTCGACATACTGGTGCTTGAGTTCGTCTGGGTTATATCCACTGTTGGCAAGAGTGGCGGTAAAGCCCGCAGCAGAAGCGCCGAGAGCCATTATGGGCCAAACGATGCTATTCGGAGAGAAAATGAGTACGGTTGGTCGGGTAGTAGTAGTTCCATTAGGCTGGTGTCGAAGTGGCTCAGGCAAGTTGATAAGAGAATGCGCAAGCTGCAGAGCGAAGGAACGGAGTTGCCCACGGGAAATTGTTACCCCAGTGGCTGCATCGATGAAAGCCGGGGAAGATACAGGGAAGCCACCGACAAGATGTGGTGTGGTTGGAGACGTTCCGAGAAGATGGGTGAAGATCGACCTGCGAGAAAGAGGGATAGGTGGCAACGACGACCTGAAAATTTGCTCGTTCATGGTGGTGTATTGGAAGAGAGTTGCGATGTTGCCCAGTAGGGTCGTGTTGACTTACATAAATGGATAAGGCTCCGCAGAGACGTCGTTGTTCGGCTGGGGTACCCGTATTTGGGCGTACTGTGAGTAGAGGCGGTGGATTGACCTGTGTTGAGCCTGCTGATATATGAATCACATACAGCTCGTAAGTATTCAATTCCGAGTGAGGCACCTTCATGACAGACACCCAGCGTCTTCGCACGCCTTCATTCAAGATTAACCTGCACTCCCCGAGTAAGACTCGCCGCAGCGATGCGGTGAAGAACATTACAGAGCGGAGGGCCGGGCAGTATTTGGCGGACAAAGTTCTCTGCGTAGTACGTACTAATATTTTGTTACGGCTGTGGGAAGTTACTATAAATTTAGAAGCACGCCGACTTCCCGAGCCAATCACACATCGGCTGATATGGGGACCGGTTTACCCTTTGCCAACGATTGGATGAGCTATCACCGAGACGAAGACGAAGCTACGATATGCCCAGATTGTCATTGGGCGTCCATCATGAAACTGGCGCTGTCTTGATACCATCATGTTGACCCCCAACACACTCTTGCGAGTCCTTCGCCTTCCGAAGTTATCCTTGATCATTTACAAGCGACTTTCGGCGGCGACTTTACAATGGCTACGATACCTCTTATCACTCTGGAACGCGTCGGTCGCGAAGTGGAAAAGAAAGTACTTGTTGAAGGGTGCCGCAGATAGTGGCCTTCCTTCGATAGCATACATCATGGGTGGGGGCAGAGGCGACCATGTCACCATACAATGTTCCGAAGTTGGGGGTTTTGCCTTGGATAATACACAGCCTATCATACCAGCTCCCACAAGTACTGTGCGCCAAATGTCTGACTAGTCGTGACCTAGAAGCCTAATGTCAGAAACAAGCCCGCAGCTCCGGTGTCTCTCGTGGGCAATGACTCGAACGCGCCCCAAATGCAATCCCTGTTAAACGAGGGGAATAAACTCTCCGCTCCCAAGCCTCCCTGGCACCCACCCACAGGAACGCGATCGCAGGAGTATGTGACAAGCCCGAGTATGTATCTCAGCGCCCATACTAACACTTCTGACATCCAAGGTTGCGGTGCTGCGCACCTCCCCTCAGGAAACCACTGTTCACGACAAAAGCGCTCCATGACATATTGTGCATGCTATTTTTCCTTGATCATCCTGGAGTCATCGGGCGCTGCTTGAAGATCACACAAGTTGGTTATGAAACCGACGTAGGGAACTGGAAAGTGTTCTGGTGCAAGTTCCGAAATGAGGTCGAGAACACTAATTTGCTTGTAAGTCGGGTTGCGATTTAAATGTGATCTGTCACTGAGCCTTTGTGGGTAGGCAACCGTCCTGCTAGCTGCTAATATAGGATTTCTCGGTATCCAATCTGTCGATCACCAGGGGTTGACTTACTGGCCCGAGAGGTTATGCTACATGTCTCTACTGTGCGCACTGGGTAGTATCTTGATGGGAATAACCGTCCGAACGCCGAGATTCTTCGTAAGAGGTTCAACCGAATTCAATGGTCGATCAACACTCTGATATATATTTATAATGCCAGACGGCTCACTCGCCGTTCTACTTCAAAGTCATGGTACTGATTCTAGACGTCCCATTCGAGTTCTTCTTTTACGGGTAAGATAAGGAACGCCTGTTTTGATTCACATTTTTGACAAACACTTCTTATAGCCTCCTTTTTACCGCTGCAATTGTGGTACATCTAGGCAAGAATGCCGCAGTGACTCAGGTTTGCTGGGGCGCGTTTGTCATTACCCTCCTCATCGCGTCTCTCGTTTTCTACTGGCTTATAACGGAGCCACTCGATGGACATCTGGCTTCTTCCATAAAAAGCATGGACCGTGAAGATAAGGAGGCTTTGTAATTCGAGCATAAGGATTCCGGGGCAGGAGAAATTTTTCTTGGCAAGCATCGTCATTTATATCTTCGTACCATGAAAAGTGGGAGTGATCTGTTCTCCAAGATTGATACCTTGGAGCACAGGACGCATGAAAGTTTTTATGCATTTCAGTGTCGGGTAAATTTATCGAAGTTCTTGATTTGTGTCCACCCCATGGCACCAGATCCACTAAAGAAAGCTTAACTTCTCTCAGGTTGTAGTTATATCCCTTCGAGAGGGAGTTGTGAATACCCGTTTGAATATATATCTAGTTGGGAAAACGAGTTATCTATGACATTTGAAATGGTATGAGTCGGGAGAGGGTATATAAATCTATCGTAATAGACTTGATCATTCTACGAGGACAATGGAGGGTATATACGTAGTCCCTATATACGATCTAGACATCTTGATTTCGGGCCTCGCCGATCCGTGCATCTTAGGACATTTCATTCCGCTCTGGCTTGTACACCAATCTTCCCACTGGCTTCCATATGGGCGGTTACTCCGAGTTTCACAAACAGCACCCATTACCCCTGCCACGATAGTATCACTGAAAGGCCCCACAGAGTTCGCTGGTCGCTTGAGGCCTCCTCGTCTCCGTTGGCTCCGTCAGGAGAGGAACTTAAACGTTTCTCCAATGACTCTGTGATAACGAGATAGAGTCCTGCATATACAGTCCAGATTATGGCGGAGCTCGTGAAGGCCCAGTATAACCAAATCCCTGCTCCAGAGTTGCCAATGTGAAATATGAGGGCGAGAAAGAAGAAGAGGAGGCTGTAAAAGGCGCTCGTAAGGGCGTGGTCAATCACCATCCAAAGTGTTTCATACCCGTATAAGAAGAGTGCAGACGGAAACCCTAAAATCAAAGAGATGGAGTCCAGGTGGAAAGCTGTGCTACCCTTCTGATCGAGACGTCAACAGTGTCGAATATTGGATTATGAACCAAATCACTTACGAGGACTCTCGGCATCCGAAGGGCGAACCCCCCCACAATGCTGCCCAAGGAAACCATGACAGAAATGTAGCTGCACTTTTGAGGTAGATAAGACACCCCTTTCTGATCGACGGATTGCGTAGCGAGGAAGGTGACATTCGTAGTTAAGAGTACAGTGGCCTGCCCATGAGGTTCAGTAATGAAGTACATCAATATTTCCGAAGGGATCTCTCTCTTGCTCTGTCAGACTCACTAGCAAAGTGACATTTTGAAGTCTTCTTCGAAACTCTTTCCAGAACGTATTAAACTTGGCCATATCAGTCTGTCGCTCGTCTTGCATATCCCTGACAGAACGTAAAATGGACAGAGAACCGTTGAGGAAGAAAAATGTCGAGATCGCTTCCAGTACCAGAATAACGGTAGCAAGTAATTGCAAGGAGCGTTTTAATGGGGGTGGTTTGCTTTGACGTTACAAATGTCAGTTTGGGCGCTGCCACGAATACTTGGGAGTCCTACGTACTGCTGCACGCGTACTTGAGGAAGAACATCGAGAGGGCGGAGTTCGACATCATCACTGGCGGTGTTTAGGAGGATGACAGGCTGCACACCCGTGTCGCCGACTTCCGGGTCTGTGACAGCCGCGGGCTTGAAACTGACATCAAACTCAACATCATAGCATGTCGGGGAAGCGGCGCACCGTACTACTCTGCGGAATAGCTTGTGTGAGGTGCAGGACGAAGTCCTCACTGACGCCGCCGACCTCCGAACACAGCATAGTTGCGGGTCCGATGCTGCTGTTGTTCTCTGCCTGCATGACTTGAGTCACGCTATCCGTACTGAAGGCAGTCGAAGCAATGCCATTTTCTGTGCCGTTTTCCATTGACTCGCGGACCGGCGCGTTCCAGCATGAGAAGAGGTAACCCAGCAATTGTAGAAGTGCCGTCGAGCATTGTTTGGCAACAGCAAGAAAGAACTGCGGAAAGCGACCAAAGATTTGAAGGAGCACTTGGACACCCATACCGGTTCGCGCGCCAACCAAAGACTACGAAGTGAGCACCAGTTGCAAGGTTGCAAGACGAGCATATTGTTCTACACTGATATATACCAACGCACACACTTTGTGGGTCCACAGGCCATACTAATGTAGTTTAGCTCTCAGTTCTCACAACCCAGTGAAATGCTTCACATAAGGGTCACGCTACTCAGTAAGGAACAAGGTTACCTTGAAGTATCTATCAAAGATGCGCCCGTTGAACAAATTACGGCTGACCTCGACAGCGATACCCTCCTTAGGAACTTTCCTACCCTCTAAGGGCTCCGTAACAAGTCAGTACAAGGAGAGGCATACAATCACAAGGCCCATGATAACAATGGTTGCATAAATCTGTAGCATCGCCGCGTTGATGCTGAAGTGTACAACGAACACAGCAATAAAAAGAATAATGCTGTAAAAGGTGCCCGTGAATGGTGATATCCGGTGAAGCGTACTTCCTACGCACCTGTACAGGAAGAGCTCGAATGGGAACCCTAGTACCAATACCATACATTGGAAGTAAAACGACGTGTAAGCTGTCTGGTTACTAGTTCAACGGGATCGATTACTGAACTAAGCTTTATGATTGCTCACGAAGAATCTCGGGGTCCGAACTGCCAGTCCCATCAAGATACTTCCCAACGCAGCCACGAGCGACACATAGCTCAACCTTTGCGGCCAGTACGATAATCCGTTATTGGAAATGGTAGCCAGGAAGCTGACATTCCCGCTCAGTAGCACGGTAGCCTGCAGCAAAAAAGAGCCAAGTCCCGGATACACATGTTACCCTCATGGCCCGATTTACTAGCAGATTAATATTCTCGACGTCTTTTTGGAACATCTCCCAGAAAGCCTTCCACTTGTTGATATCAGTCTTACGATGACATTATGTGCCTTTGAGGGAGCGCTCGACGAATCCAGGATGATCGAGGAACAACAGCATGCAAACCAAACTATACAATGATGTTCTTGTGAACAGCTCATTCAGATTCTTGAGGGGAGGCGCGCAAACATGTAAACTTGAATTTGACAGGGTCAGTCTAGACGTCATGATTGATACTCAGATGTCACGTACTGGCTCTGATCAATCGCTTGCGTTGGCGGATACTTTGTGCGGGTAGGCTCGAGCAGATTCGTGCTGCTGGGTTGCGGAATGCTCAAGGTGGAACCCCTACCCTCGGCAGACAGCAGAGGTGCGGGCTTGACGCCGACATCAGGTCATGAAGATACATTTTGTCAAGAAAGCCGCTCACTGTCTCCGTTCCACGTGGTGTAAGTCTGCGACTCAACGCCGAGCCTTCATCCTCGGAACAAAGTGCAGCTGCGCTCACAACGTGGGTACCCGCTCCCCCACCTTTCTCTTCATGTAATGTTGAGGGAGAGATATTACCTGTGTTATCTTCCGAAGAATACTTTCGTTTCCCCTTCTGAGCCGACGCGTTCCATGGCAAGAAAAGCAAACGTAGCAAATGTAAAGCTGTCGAGGAGCATCATTTGACAATGGCGATGAGTAACTTTTGGAAAGCGAATGAGCATGTGGAGGAGCATTTCAGCGACCGACATGATGGTTATTCAGAACAACGAGCACGATGTCCGCATGTCTTGAGGCCACAGGATGTAAGCGAACAACATCAACGTCACCTAAACACAGTAACCCCTCAGGAAGCCACTGTTCGCGACAAAAGCGCTTCATGACATACTGTGCATGCTATTTTTCCTTGATCATTCTGGAGTTGTCGGGCGCTGTTTGAAGATCACACAAGTTGATCACGAAACAGACGTAAGGAACTGGAAAGTGTTCTGGTGCAAGTTCCGAAATGAAGTCGAGAGTCGAGAACACTAATTTTGCTTGTAAGTAGGGTCGCGATTGTAAATGTGATCTATCACTGAGCCTTTGTGGGTAGGCAACTATCCTGCTAGCCGCTAATATAGGAATTCTCGGTATCCAATCTGTCGATCACCAGGGGTTGACTTACTGGGATTCTGGGCCAGGAGAAATTTTCTCGGCAAGCATCGTCCTTTATATCTTCTTACCATGAAAAGTGAGAGTGATCTGTTCTCCAGGATCGATACCTCGGAGCGCAGGATGCATGAAAGTTTTTATGTATTTTAGTGTCGGGTAAAGTTTTTCGAAGTTCTTGATATGTATCCCCCCATGGCACCAGGTTCACTAAAGAAGGAAAGCTTAACTTACTCTCAAGTTGTAGTTTTATCCCTTCCAGAGGGAGTTCCGAATACCCGTTTGGACATATATCTGGTTGAGAAAACGAGTTATGTATGATATTTGAAATGGTATGAGTCGGGAGAGGGTATATAGGGTAACTGAAATGAACTTGACCATTCTACGAGGACAAAAAAGGGTATATACGTAGTCCCTAGACGATCTAGACATCTTGATTTCGGGCCTCGTTGATCCGTAGATCTTAGGACATTTCATTCCGCTCTGGCTTGTGCACCAAACTTCCCGCCGGCTTCAATATTAGCGGTTATTCTGTTTCACAAACAGCACCCATTACCCCTGATATGATAGCATCGCTGAAAGGCCCCACAGAGTTCGCTGGCCCCTTGAGGCCTCCTCGTCTCCATTGGCCCCGCCGAGAGACGAACTTAAACGTTTCTCCAACGACTCCGTGATAACAAGATAGAGTGCTGCATATGCAAACCAAAATATGGCGGAGCTCGTGAAGGCCCAGTATAACCAAAGCCCTGGTCCAGAATCGCCAATGTGAAATATGAGAGCGAAAAAGAAGAAGAGGAGGCTGTAAAAGGCGCTCGTAAGGGCGTGGTCAATCACCATCCAAAGTGTTTCATACCCATATAAGAAGAGTGCAGACGGAAACCCTAGAATCAGGGAGATGGCGTCCAAGTAGAAAGCTGTGCTACCCTTCTGATTGGGACGTCAACAGTGTCGACTATTAGATTATGGACCAAATCACATACGAGAACTCTCGGCATCCGAAGGGCAAACCCACCCACAATGCTGCCCAAGGAAACCATAATAGAAATGTAGCAGCATTTCTGAGGTAGATAAGACACTCCTGGCTGATCGACGGATTGGATAGCAAGGAAGGCGACATTCGTAGTTAAGAGTACAGTGGCCTGCCCGTGAGGTTCAGTAATGAAGTACATCAATATTTTCCGAAGGGACCTCTCTCTTGCTCTGTCAGACTCACCAGCAAAGTGACATTTTGAAGTCTTCTTCGAAACTCTCCCCAGAACGTATTAAACTTGGCCATATCAGTCTGTCGCCCGTCTTGCATATCCCTGACAGAACGTAAAATGGACAGAGAACCATTAAGGAAGAAACATGTCGAAATCGTTTCCAACGCCAGAATAAAGACAGCAAATAATTGCAAGGAGTATTTTAATGGGGGTGGTTCGCTTTGACGTTACGAATGTCAGTTTGGATGCTGTTGCGAATACTTGGAGGTCGTACGTACCGCTGCACACGTGCTTGGGGGAGAACATTGTGAGGGCGGAGTTCGACATCATCACTCGCGGTGTTTAGGAGGATGACAGGCTGCACACCCGTGTCGCCGACTTCCGGGTCTGTGACAGTCGCGGGCTTGAAACTGACATCAAACTCAACATCATAGCCATGTCGGGAAAGCGGCGCACCGTACTACTCTCGAACGATGTCTGATGCTTCTCAGCGCTCCGCGGAATAACTTGTGTGTGGTGCAGGACGGAACCCCCACTGACGCCACCGACCTCAGAACACAGTGTGGTGGCGGGCTTCATGCCGCCGTTTTCCTCTAGCTGCATGACTCGAGTCACGCTATCCGTACTGGACGCAGTCGAGGCAAGGCCCTTTCGTGTGCCATTTTCCATGGACTTCTGGACTGATGCATTCCGGCACGAGAAGAGGTAACGCAGCAAATGTAAAATTGTCGTCGAGCATCGTTTGGCAATAGCAATAAAGAACTTCGGAAAGCGACCAAAGATTCGAAGGAACGCTTGGACAACCATACCGGAGCGCGCGCCAACCGAAGGCTACGATGTGAGTACCAGTTACAAGGTTGCAACGCGAGCATATTGTCCTACACTAATATGTACTATAACACACATACCATGTGGGTCCACCGTTCGACCATACTAATGTAGTTTAGCTTTCAGTTCTCACAGCCCAGGGAAATGTTTTCCATAAGGGTCACACTACAAGGTTACCTTGAGGTATCTATCGAAGATGTACTCATTGGGCAAGCTAAACCTGAACTCCACGGGCTGTACCCTCCTCGCGGCCTTCCCTACCCTCTAAAGGCTCCGTAACAAGCCAGTATAAAAAGAGGCATACGATCACAAGGCCCATGATAACAATGGCTGCATAAATCTGTAGCATCGCCGCGTTGATGCTGAAGTGTACAATGAGCGCAGCAATAAAAAGAATAATGCTATAAAACGTGCTCGTGAATGGTGATATCTAGTGAAGTGTACTTCCTACGCACCTGTATAGGAAGAGCTCGAATGGGAATCCTAGTACCAATACCATCACTTGGAAGTAAAACGGCGTGTAGGCTGTCTGGATGCTAGTTCAACGGGATCGACTACGGAACTAAGCTTTATGATCACTCACGAAGAATCTCGGGGTCCGAACTGCCAGTCCCATCAAGATACTTCCCAACGCAGCCACGAGCGACACATAGCTCAACCTTTGCGGCCAGTACGATAATCCGTTATTGGTAATGATAGCCAGAAAGCTGACATTCCCGCTCAGTAGCACGGTAGCCTGCAGCAAAAAAGGGCTTAGTAACGGATACACGTGTCATACTCACGGCTCAATTTACCAGCAGATTGATATTCTCGACGTCTTTTTGGAACGTCTCCCAAAAAGCCACCCACTTGTTGATATCAGTCTTACGACGATATTGGGTGCCTTTGAGGGAGCGCTCGACAAATCCAGGATGATCGAGGAACATCAGCATGCAAAGCAAATTATACAATGATGTTCTTGTGAACAGCTCTTTCAGATTCTTGAGGGGAGGCGCGCAGACCTGTAAACTTGAATTTGACTAGAGTCAGTCTGGACGCCGTGATTAATACTCAGGTGTCACATACTGGCTTTGATCAGTCGCTTGCGTTGGTGGACGATCTGCTGCGGTTAGGCTCGGGCAGATTCGTGCTGCTGGGTCGCAGAGTGCTCAAGGTGGAAACTCTACCCTCGGCAGACAGCAGAGGTGCGGGCTTGACGCCAACATCAGGTCATGAAGATACATCTTGCCAGGAAAGCTGCTCACTGTCTCCGTTCCACGTGGTGTAGGTTCCAATGCCGAGCCTTCATCCTCGGAGCATAATGCAGTTGCGCTCTCAACGTGGATACCTGCTCCCCCATCTTTCTCCCCATGCGACTTCGAGGGAGACATATTATCTGTGTTATCTTCCAAAGAATACTTTCGTTTCCCCTTCTGAACCGACGCGTTCCATAGCGAGAAAAGGTAGCGTAGCAAATGTAAAGCTGTCGAGGAGCATTGTTTGACAGTGGCGATGAGTAGTTTTGGAAAGCGAAGAAGCATGCGCAGGAGCGTTTCAGCGACAGACATGATGGTTATTCAGAACCACGAGCACGATGTCCGCATGTCTTGAGGCCACAGGATGTAAACGAACAACACTAACGTCACCTAAACACAGTAACCATTGTACTGCCCTTGTCATAACCCTAGATCCCGAAGATTGCATAAGTCATGCTCATGGTAATGCTTCGAGTCCTACTGAAGATGACACGTGGTACTCGGCGCCCGTTCGTGTTTCCGTTTCATGCTACAGATGCCACGGCGTGTCCAGCATGGTCTTCGGCTACAAGGTGTTTGCGACGGGAGTTGCCAGCACAGCCGCGTGTCCAATCTGACAACATCGGTGGTTAGTTGCTACAGTTGTCGTTTCCAACAACCTGCAACACCGGCCTACATGTGGTGACTCCCCCCAGCAACGACAAGCTACCCTGTGGACCACCTGGCTCGGTAGCCGTACCAATCCCCGACTCCCGAGTCAAATGATCAACAATTGAGATAGCCATGTGGGTCGTTCATGACCTCCTCGAACACGGATATTCCGTTGGCCGCCCTTCGTTCTGTGAAGAAAGGAAAGGACAACTTCGCGAACTGCGCTGATGGCAAACTTGAAATCATTGTTGTAGAGGGACATAACCAAGGTTTATCCTGCAAATGGCAAAACAAGCACCCGTCAGACTGACTTAGAGACTCAGGAAGGAGTGTTCGATGTGGCAGTCAAGAGTGCAGACGTAATCATGCATACAGCCTCCCACATAACAGTGGGCTGGATGTGGGTTGCAGGTGGGTTCTAAAGCACCCTCCTCGCATACTGTGCATGTCCGTAAGCTTTCAGGTCTTATAATGGTTATTGAATGTCGAGTTGTTGTTTATGCTTATAGTCAGTTCATCAGGCGCTTCATGTCTGCTTTTACTGAGAAAGACTGGGATGTTAGAGCACTTGGGGTTTTCAAAGAGTAAGGAAATAAGTCCTCTGTCTTGACAACGTATCATGCATCCAAAGCGCTCGCCGAACAAAGTCAGTACTCGGCCTATCAGTCCTACTTGCACTGACACTACTATCCTGCCCAGATGCATGGAGGTTTGCGAAGGACCGCGAGCACGAAATCGGCTAGGATCTGACGTTATGAAATCCGCCTCTTGTATGGTTTATTTCTGCGATTGGTTGCTGATTGCCGTTCTTTGTTCAAGTTATTTAAGTAACATGACTATCTTTTTTTACCGAAGACTCTGGAGGCCTGATTGTTAGGGATATGTTTCGGATGCAACACCCAGTTGTCGACGTTGTGAATCGTTCCCTCTTCCCTCAAAATATCCGTGTGGTCGTTCTACGACTACGTTGCAGGATCCTGTGAAAGTGCTGAGGTAGGGAATGATTTCCTCATGAAAACGGGTTGTCCATGGATCAGCTGTTCGCGATGTAGCTCGTTGGAGAAGGGATGAATGAATCGTCATCTCTGGTACTTTTTTTCATCCCTGTGTCCAACGAGGACGGTCTGACACGATTTTAAGGGATCATGGGCGACTCTGGAAATCCTGCTAGTGCATCGTAAACGAACGTCCTCTCTCTGACTTCTCTGCTTGCAGCTAATAGAATGCTCGTTAAACAAGTTTGATGCATCATCACTTGCCATATAATGACCTGTTGCTGCATATGATCTACCGAGGCGATCCTCCAACTGGAAAGAACTGGTTGTTTTCCTGCGGAAGACTTGAAACGAGACGAAAAGAAATTCACACGGGGGATTCAATAGAAAGTCTCACCCGTGGACCGTGCCCGATCGTGGGTCATAGATTCCCTCGAAGCAGACATTATCGCAGGCTGAGGAAAGAGCGACGCTCCCCCGGGTATTCGTGATTGGCCCAGTGGCGTCGAACAAGTTGCAACCAAGAATAACTGGGTGCATATCAACACCATACGACAGTTGCAAAGCGACTTAGGTGAGGTCCAGATCCGAAGAAGCAGCCTCCGGCCACATTTCCCAACACAAAGCATTGCATGTAGAACTCGAGCCACCTACAATACATTTCAGGGTATCAATCATGTAAAAGGATATCACTTTCACCGTGCGAAGAAATCAAACGAAAGCTGTACGACCTAGCCAGCAACCTCATCCCAAGATCCTTCCTTCCTTCCACTAGAGGCGCTCACGCGTTTTGCAAAGGCTCCTCAGTCCCACGACTCTTGCACTCTTGGGGCAAAAACTGCCAGCCATCTAATGGCTCCGTGACAAGCCAATACAAAAAGAGACATATGATCACGAGGCCCATAATGGCAACGGCCGCATAAATCTGGAGCTTTGCTGCATTAATAGTGAGGTGCACAATGAGTGCAGCAATGAATAGAATGATGCTACAAAACAAACACGTGAACGGCGATGTCGAACAAAGTGCTCTTCACGCACCTGTATAGGAAGAGCTCGAACGGAAACCCCAATACCAATACCATGACTTGGAAGTAAAACGCCGAGTAAGCAGTCTGGATTTCATTTCAACAAGATTGACCACAAAACCGAGACTATTGATAACTCACAAAGAATCTCGGGTTCCGGACCGCCAACCCCATCAAAATACTACCCAATGCAGCCACGAGAGATACATAGCTCAGCTTCTGAGGCCAGTAAGACAACCCATGCTGATTGGTGATATTCAGGAAATTGGCATTCCCAGCCAGCAGTACGGTCGCCTGCAAGAAAAAAAGTTATTAGCGAATGCATATATCACACTTGTGGCTAGCCTACAAGCAAGTTAATGTTCCCGACGTCTTTTTGGAACGTTTTCCAAAACTCTTTCCATTCGTCAACGTTCGTTTTATGATGATGCTGTGTAGCTTTGAGCGAGCGCTCGATGAAGCCAGGATGATCGAGAAACATCAACATGTAAATTAGGCCATATAACGAAATTCTTGTAAAGAGAGATTGTCTAAGCGGAGGTTTGCAGCAGTGCATGCTTTGGTATCACAAGGGTTACTACAGCAGCGATGATAAAACGATCGCATCTCACGTACCAGTCTTCATGTGTTTGCACTGGCGGGTAGTGATTGCGGTTGAGGTTCGTATCACTTGGTAGGCTGGATTGCATGACGCTCAAGGTTGAAACCCCACCCTCCACAGGCGGCCCGACTGCGGGCTTGACACCGACATCAGGCTATTAAGTTCCTCAACCAATTATGCGGCGCACCGTATTGAAGCTGGGTAGTGTGGGTGTATTACCCGGGACGAAGGCTTCACCCCGGGAGCACGCGGTGGTCGCACTGCCAGTACTGGCATCTCCCTCCCCACCTTCCTTCCCGCTATCTACGCGTTCTGTCGAAGCAGGACCTCTATCTGGGTCAATCCCCGGTAGATGCTCTCGTTTCTGCTTCTGGATGATCGAGTTCCAAAATGACAAGAGGTATCGCAATAAATGTAGACTTGTTGAGGAGCATCGTTTCGCGATGGTGATGAATAACTTTGGTAGACGAAGAAGGATCCGCAAAAGCGCCTCAGGGCCGACCAACATGATGGTATGAAAACAACAGGAACTTCATGGCAGACTCGCGTGCTGTATGCTTCTTCGAAGCAACCAAATATCAACTATATACAGCTTGTGAAGATAGACGCCTTGTCCTCTTATATAGGTCGGGTCGAAACGTGGAATCGCGCAGCGTTATTAGTAGTTAGGATTGACGAACTAGGGATTTCCCATGACCTTACCTTTCTGTTCGTTGCTCGCGCTCAGGCTCTAGAGCCATCGGTCAAGCTAAGTATGCACGTACACAGTACTCGGAAATTACCAGCGGCGGCAGAAAAGCTCGCAGTTTGACATCAAGCCAAGTAGCACACAAATATATGCTAGGAATGCTTTTGTTTACATCTGCGAATTGAAACGGAAACATTTACTGTGGCTACGGTGTCTGTGGAGAAATGTGTTGTGTTTTCTTGGCAAGTGAGGTAGGAAGGGGGACCGCAACACGAACCTACGAATGATGGTCAAGTCACTTGAGGAGCTCAACCACGTGTAGGGTGGCAACATGATTTTGTGCACCACAACTAGGGGCGGAAGAATGAATGTGTATGAACATCAGTTAATACGGCTTATGGAGATGGAGCAATGGTGTTTGTGAGAGATTCACGCATTTCCAAGTCACAACCAACATTTAGGGCGAGAGGGCTTGCTCTGGCTCTGTGGGAATGCCACAGCTGCAATTGTCCTAATCGATACTGTTAAGATAACCACTCCGAGGGCCGATAACGAGAGAATACCAACAATCTCCAAGCCCCGCTTCAAGGCCCCCAAACCATCATCCACACTACGGAGGTCGTATTTTATGGAGGATGCCGACTGCGGAAGTCATCAGCTGCAAGCAACGTGGGTAGACCTTCGCACGCACTGAAAGGACCTCGCGCAATAGCCGTATCGACTTTGCGCAGGAAGAAATAATACGGGCATCTGTCGATTGAAGGATACGTCGTGCTTCAGGCGTCCTTTTGGTGAGATCCTGGATGATTTCATGCACATGGTTCATTTCCCTGCCATGGCCATTAGGTTATTGCATGTGACATTTATCCTCCTCTTACTTTGCAAACTCGTCGACTGCTGCCTTTACATCTCGCGTTAACCTTGCCTCTTTTGCACGGTAAATGGTCACATTGATCAGTGGTATAGCAGTCTCTAAAACTTGAAAAAGTGCGTGGTGCGTTTCCGGCATGGACTAGTAAAATGGTCATCAGATCGTTTCGATATCACGCCGCCGATACACTTACCTCAATGAACAGAGCAATTTCAAGACACGGAGCGATCGGGTAATGGATACGGACAAGTTCTGGAGCGCTAACGGCGGCCTGCAAGGTGAATATTACCTGAGTCAAAGCACTCCGGTAACCTTGCACGCTACAAGCCCCGGAACTGCTTATTCCCATCCCAACGGGCTGGGTATCGGTGGGATCATAGGTGAGGGTGACACTCGGCGTCCGAAAACTCGTTCTCTTCGTACCCTTTTTAATCCGTGCGAAAATCCCCTCGGAACGAGGCATGAGATTGAAAAGCCTATCTAAAATTGTTCTCCCTGCAGCTGTTTTGTGAAGTGGTAGGTGTTTATCTACCATTTCCCGCTGGATTTGAAGTGGGCGGCGCTCAGCCGGCGGTGAAATAGAGACGGAATTGATTATTTTCCGAGCAGATTCGGTAGTCCCTTCGAAGCGGTGAGTGGTCGATCCCAACTTGATCATTGCTCGCCAGAAATCAGACTGCAGTTCCTGTTCACGCTGCGAGCCAACCTCTTCTGATACTTCGTCCCACATTGTGGTAACGAATATGACATTCTTGCAGGTATCTCTGCCACAAAGCTCTTTGAAGATTTTGTAGCTCCTTGACGGGGCTTCTCTAATTCTGTGGTCCGAAATTCGATGGAAATACAGGATGCCGCTCAATTTGACGTTTTTGCTGTAGCTACAACGATATCAGAATTGGAATCGCTTTAAACCAAGCAAACTACCTACATCGCATTCAACCACTGTGTGATTTCCCCAAGAACCTGGAAATCTGGCATGAATGTATCATTGCACCCTGGTGTATCAACCAAGATAATGTTGCGACCGTCATCGGAGTGGGGATATCGGACAGGGCGCACTTCCTTTGTGCAGGAAGTCGATCCACAGCCTACATCGGGTCTTCCGACTGCGCGGTCGATAAACTACGTATATTCGTCTAGGAGGATGTTTAGAGATGTGTCGGATGCTTACTGTGGTCTTCCCCGAGTCACTGGGGCCCATGACACTGTTTTTGATTACTAAGGTCTAGGATCCATGATTGAGCTACACGGACGCACGCAATGACGATATCATCTGGGGTAATCGTAACTTCTTCAGTGGGTGATGTAGGGGGCGGCATTGTCTCCCTCGTTTGATCATGCTTGCTTTCGTGGTCAACAGTAGTGTCATCGCGAGGGGTGCTGGGAAACAAGTGGAGCCTGTCCAGCCAGGTGTTGACATTCCAATCGCTTCTCAGCGGTGTACGACGATCATCCTCGTACGGTTCGCATTCAGATGCATTGCCAAAAGGAGCTGAAACGATGCTGGCAGCCGCAAACGTGGAGGACTCCCCTCCCACTTCGTCAACCCCACACCTTATTGGAGAGTGAGATAGAGAGCGACTCTAATCCGCTATTAGCTGAAGGAACGCGTGAAGAACAGGTGGGTTTACCTGCGACGGAGACATAAGGAAGCGCAGGAGAATGCTGGGGCAAGGCTGGGAGGACTGCCGGCACCGTGCATTCGCCATGGCACTGCATAACAGGCCGCCCACACGAAGACGACCAACTATGACATCTTTGTCCTTGCCACTTTACGTTCATCAGAGACTCGTCAAGAAAACGCCTTGCATCACATCATAAGGAGGTCCTTGACAAGTCACAGGCGCACGACATAAGGCCTTAAGGTATAAGGCCTCAGGGTATGATGCGTATTGGAAGGCAGTGACCGCCTTTGTTCCGCAAACGGACCACTGGTTTTTCAAGATCGAGCACACGCACACGCACAAAACACCATTACTTGTCGGTTGGGGATGGTGTGGTTGATTGAAGTATCACGCAGGTAACGTCACCAGTGGGCGCGAGTTCAAATGAGTCCTTTGGAACATGCGGACCAGTGGATGCACACGTACCCAGTTTTGGGGATGATACATAGTCGCCCCCGTGGAAATCCCTTCACAGGCGCAGAATGGTTTTGAAGCCCGCAGTTGTTGTGTATGTACTCTTATTTCGAATGTTATTCGTCATTCGCGCACCTCTTCTCCGCTCTATGACTAGTGACTCTGGATTCCAGGCTTGCAGTTTGACAGTCCTTGGTTAGGAATTTTTTTATTTGACATACAGGCAGATTCTTGCAGCGGCTACAGGGTAAATAAGGAGGTATACTTCTGAATTGTGAGGCAGAAAAGATGGACCACGACACGGACCTGCAAAAGACGATCACTTGAACCGCATAACATGTAGCATGGAATGGGAAGGGGGAGAATCACGTTGTACAGAACATCTAGGGACACAAACGAACATATACATGAATGTCGTACATGCAAATGGGTAATACGATCAATGGCGGTTGCCCAAACCTTGCCTGGAGAGTGAGATGTTGACGCAGCCGCTTACAATATGGTATTTAGGGTGAAAGGGCTTGCTCTGGCTCTACGGGAATGCCGCAACTGCAGTTGTCCTAATCGATGGTCATAAGATGATCACTCCGAGGCACGAAAAGGAGAAAGTACCAACAATCTCCAAGGCCCGTTTCAGGGCCACCAAACCTTTGTCGATACCACGGAGGTCATATTTTATGGAGGATGCCGACTGCAGAAGTTATCAGCCGCAAGCGACACAGGTAGGCCTTTGCACGTACCGTGAGGACCTCGCGCACCTGGCGTATCGAATGTGCGCAGAAAGAAATGATACGGACATCTGTCGATTGAAGGACACGTCGTGCTTCAGGTGTCCTTTGGGCGAGATCCTGGATGATTTCCTGCACCTGGTTTATTTCCCTGGCAAGGTATTAAGTTTATACATGTGACATTCGTCATCATCATACTTCGCAAACTTGCTGACCGCTGCCTGTATATTTGGCGAGAACGTCGCCTCTTTCGCACGGTCAACGGCAGCATTTATCAGCAGCGTAGCGGTTTCCAAAACTTGGAAATGCGCATGGTGCGTTCCCGTCATGGTCTTTAATAAAGGGGTCATCAAATCTCTTCAACATCACGCGCTGACTCACTTGCCTCAATAGACAGAGCAATGCTAAGACATGGTGCGATTGCGTCCTTCAGATAATCGATATGGGCAACTTCTGGTGCGTCAAAGGCGGTCCGCAAAGTAGTTGTTATCTGCGGCAAAGCACTTCGATAACCTTCCACGCTGCAAGTTCCAGAACTGTATATTCCTGTCTCAACGGACTCCGCATCGGTGGGATCATAGGTGAAGGTGACAGTGATCTTCGTCGTCCGATAACTCGGCCTCCCTGTAGCCTTTTTAATCCGTGCGAGAAGCCCTTCGGAGCGGGGCCTGAGACTGAGAAGCCTGTCTAAAATCGTTCTTCCTGCAGATGTTCTGTCAAGCGATAGATGTTTATCTACCATTTCCCGTTGGATTTGAAGCGGGCGGCGCTCAGACAGCGGTGAAATAGCAACCGAGTTAATTATATCCCAAGCAGATTCGGTGGTCCTTTCGAAGCGGCGAGTGGTGGATCCTAGACTGATCATCGCCTGCCAGAAGTCAGACTGTAGATCCTGTTCGCGTTCCGAGCCGAACTCTTCCCATACTTGATCCCACATCGTGGTAACGAATATGACATTCTTGCAGTTGTCTTTGCCACATAGTTCTTTGAAAATGTTGTAGTTCCTTGACGGTGCCTCTTGAATGCTGGTGTCTGAAATCCGATGGAAATATAGGATACCGCTCAATTTAACGCCTTTTCTATACCTAAAACCTTATCAGAATTGGAATCACTTGCAGCCAAGCGAGCTGCTTACACCGCATTCAACCACTCTGCAATTTCCCAGAGAACCTGGAAATCTGTCATGAATGAATTGTTGCATCCTGGTGTGTCAACCAAAACAATGTCGCGAACGCCGTCGAAGTGGGGAATTCGGACAGGGCGCACTTCTTTTGTATGGGAAGTCGCCCCACAATCAGCATCGGGTCTTCCAAGTGCGCAGTCGATGAACTAGTGCATTCATTGAGGAAAAAATGTAGAAACGTGCGCGATGCTCACTGTGGTCTTTCCGGCGCCGGTGGGACCCATGACACTGCCGTTGATCATTAAGGTCAAGCATCCATAAGTGAACTATACGGACGCACGCAATAATGATATCGTCCGGGCTGACCACAACTTCTTCAATCGACGATACTGGAAGTGGAACTTGCTCATTGGCTTCATCGCACCTACCTTCAAGGTCGACAGGGGCGCCATCTCGACGGGCGCTGGGAAACAAGTGGAGCCTGTCCAGCCAAGTGTTGACATTCCAATTTTTTCTCGGCGGTGTGCGACGATCATCCTCGTACGGATCGCATTCAGATGCATTGCCCAAAGGAGCGGAAACGATGCTGGCGGCCGCAAAGGTAGAGGACTCCCCTTCCACTTCGTCAACCCCACGCCTTATTGGAGGGTGAGATAGAGAGCGACCCTGATCCGCTATTAGCTGAAGGAGCGCGTGAAGGACAGGCGGGTTTACCTGCGACCGAGACATGAGGAAACGCAGGGGAATGGTGCGAGAAGGCGGGGCTGGGGCTTAGCACTGCACTGCATTTGGTATAGCACCACAAGGCAGGACATACACACGAGGATTGCACGAGGATCACCCAGATTGGAAGGCGTACTAATCAGTCAGCACGGCAACACGTCAACTTTTCGGGCATGGACATCTTGGTAGTGTCCCAAGTCCTTTGTGGGGGGGCTCAGGCAATAGGGAAAGCCATCTTTTAACTAAAGGTGTGTGTAAGGCTATTGGGTTTATGTCCCAGTAGAGACTCAAATGAAGCAAACGAAGGGAGGCGCCATTAATCACAGCGAGGCCCTCGGCAAGTCTCAGGACGTGCAGCACGAGATCAATGGCACTCAATGGAAGGCGGTGACCCCCTTGTTCCGGAATTCGCAAGCGGGGTAACTGGTCTTTCAGGATCCAGTAAGTACACACACAGTTCTTGGTTTGGGATAGTGATTGATTGAAACATCAGGCAGGTAACGTTATCCGTGGGCGCAGGTTTGGAAACATGCGGACCAGTGGTGCACACGTGCCTAGTTTTTGAGGATGATATACAATCATCCCCGCTGAGATACCTTTCACACGCGCAGAATGATTTCCAAGCCTACAGTTGTTCTGTATGTCCTCCTTTTTACGAAGTTTACTCTTCATTCATACCTTCACTCTGCTCTAGATTCATGGGACCTGCGGGGCCCGGGCGAAGCAGTGTAAGTCCAGGAATCCTTGTATCCTAGTCATCGGCTAAATGGACACAGTTCATCAACAAACTTACGGGAGTTGAGGGAGGGAAGGCAATGCTTGGGGCTGGGCCGCGTACACAGGACATCAAGGAAATCACAATGAAGCTGCGCAATAACCAAGAATATGTATTGGTGGACACTCCTGGGCTCAATGACCCCCATCGACCGGGCGGAGATATACTCCAAACGATCGCTGATTGGTTGGAGATGAAGTGAGTGGATGTGTTTATGATCATACTGTTACTGGCTAATCTATGTACAGATATAGGGAGGGCATTCTTCTCACGGGCGTCATTTACGCTCACGACATTACCCGCCAAATGGACGGTATACTGTGTGAAAGCCTGGACATATTTTGTTGTATATGTGGGGACAAAGCTGCTGAGCGCGTACGACTGGTGTCTACCATGTGGGACCAGGTGAAAGATCGCAGTGCAGCGGAGACTATGGTGTCACAACTAGAAGGGAACTCGTGGAAGCCCTTACTTGACGCAGGGGCTCGCCATATGCAATTCAACAATTCCGAGAAGTCCGCGTGGAACATTGTCATGGATTTAGGTGTGGGAGGACAACCTCTTTTACTCCAGCAGGAACTGGTGGATGCAGAAAGGAACTTATACGAGACGTTTGCTGGTCATGCTCTCTACCTGCAGTTGCAGAAGCTTCTCCGGGAAGAACTGGAAACGCCAAAGCCATTTTGGGGAGTTCCCAGGACGCGGACAGTTCGGAGGCCGATGACCGAGCTCGAGATAGAGTGCAGGCACATTGAAGCGCAACTACGGAAGGCACGAAAAGAAAGGCAAAGACTAGAGATGCGCCACCATTCCTACTTGCGCCAACTTTTATCTCTCTTTTCTAATCCCATCATTGCGATTCCAGAAGTTTCAGAAATTGATCTCGTAATTTTGTAAGTGGTGGAACACTTCTTCCTTGTCTTCCTTTGAACACCGTGCGCTCAGTGTGGTTGGCCCACCGGGAGCAGACAAGAGTTGGGTACGCATGCAGACACTTCATTGTAGCCGGGATATCCTGATTCATTGGTAGTTCACCAAAACGCTCTCGCAGAATGAAGCTATTCAGGCCGGAGAGATTCGACACCCCTGTACCAAGTGGCACATGAGCGCATCCAGATACAACGTCAAGGACAGCACGAATGGTATCCTAGTCGTCAACACGCCGTCGTTTCATACCGATAATGACTTTTACGCTGAAAGATTTATGACATCTTGGTTGAAGTCGAGGTAAGTGCAAAAACTTCCCCTCCGAATATTTTCACCCACCTCTGCAGGTTCACTAAAAAGTGTCGATCCGGCGTCCTCTTTCTCCACCCGCTTTCCAAAAATCCGAAGGATCGTGACATAGTGATGCAGCGGCACCTTGATACGTTTGCAATGAGATTTCCTAACAAGTCCATGGTTCCTTCCCGCGTTTATGTAGTGCCGATCGGGAGTTCAGCGGATGCAAAGTTAGGCCCTGGTCAACGGTTGTCGGAGCTGGAAAGTGTGATGAAGTCATCGAACAGCCATTGTGGCCGAAGATGGCAGGTATCAGTGTTCCCTGGAGTGTTCGAAGGTCAACCGGAAATAGCATGGAGTGCGGCACTGCTGCTTCTCAAAGACATAGCTGAGACTCAGGTACATCTCTCCAACACGTTCGGTAAACTCGCTGGATGACCATATCTCCATTTCTATTTAGGCAAATGAGATGCCCAGCTCCCGAAGACTTACTCTAAAGGGCCTCCCTCTGAAAATCCCAGATAACCGTGCGGGACTCAAAAATCTTGCGGACCACCTTTTCGAAGGGTACAAAAAGGAAACGACGAACAGCAGTTTGGACGCCAAAATCGTACTCGGGCGAGTTGTGCGGGACCTCACTCCCGCGAGTCACCCTGAGTATATTTCAACTCTCATCGCTTGCGCCGACCTTCTTTCTGAGCGGTTCGGAAAGGAAGGGAGGAGAGCAGACTTGGACGATGCTGTCACTCTCAGGCGAAATGCTTGGACGTCTTTGCCCCCGCACGACCCAAGGTGGCGAGGGACCCTCACTGAGCTGGATGATTACCTCTATAAGCGCTTCAGAAGGGGAAGTGTCGCGGATTTAGAGGAAATCATATATCTTCGCCGAACTGCGTCGGAATGTGCATCCTTGCCAGATCGCTGCAGATCTCTGGTCCTCCTCGCGAATGCCCTTCACGAAAGATATCGGACACTTCGTGTCAGGAGTGATCTGGAGGAGGCTATTAAGCTCGCACATGACGTGTTGGCACAAAATCCCTCCGATCACCCAGATCATGTACTGGCTCAGAAATGTCTCGCAGATTGTCTCCAAACAAAGCTCGGAAAAGGGGCTGTTTGTGCAGCGAGGGCGGTGACAGACGCTTCCGACCCTACCGATATCCACAAGGTGATCACGAACATTATTTCTGAAACCGTCGCAAAAATGCCACCACGACTGTTGCATACACCAACTGGCGCCTTATGCAATCGGGATGCGCTGATATCCCATTTCGTGAATAGCCCTGCATACTTGGAGCTATATTCATTGTCGTCTCCAGCGCAGATCCGTGCGAAGATTTCATTGTTCTTTCGGTTTACCACGCTATCCCACAGATGGGGAGTCCGCGAGCCATTACTACGCGACATTGAAGGCGAAGTGATCTATGACTTGGAGCGGACGGAGGGTCTGGCGAAACTCCAACAGTTTTGTCTTGTCTCACTCAGACACACTTTCTCATGGGCATGGAGCGATACTTGTTGCATCGAAAAAAACAGCAGCGCAGAGCTTCAAGAAGCTATAGGATCCATGTTTTCTTGGTATCATCGATCATCCCTGACAATTGTTTACCTGTCTGATGCCTCCGACGCTGGCTCACTAGCTGGCAGTATCTGGTTCAAGCGCGGGTGGACACTTCAGGAATTACTGGCTTCACGCACCTTGTTGTTCTATTTGCAGGACTGGTCACCCAGCATGAACTCTGATTCCGGAAACCACAAAACAGACCCCACTATGCTCGAAGTGCTCCAAAAAGCAACGGGAGTGGCGGCGCGGCATCTTGAGGACTTCTCTCCAGGTATGGATGATCCACGATCGAAACTCCACTGGGCATCAAGCCGTTGTACCACCCGACCCGAAGATGTTGCCTACTGTCTTTTCGGCATTTTCAAGGTTCACTTACCTGTTATCTACGGGGAATCTGCGGAAAATGCGCTTGGACGTCTTTTAGCGGAGATCGTATCACAATCGGGAGACATCTCGGTTCTTGATTGGGTTGGGGAGGCGTCATCATTCCACAGCTGTTTCCCCGCCAACCTTATACCGTACCAGACGGTGCCCTGCACGCAGTCAATTCGATGCGACTCTACTAGACGCGATAGCCTCAATTTCGAGGGTGCACGGAAATTGTACAACATCCTTGCGAAGTTACCACGCCCGCGATTTTTCCACCGTAGGCTCATCCTGTCCTCCATCGCCTATCGTGTCGTGGCGGCTAAACTGCTAGAAAATTCCACCAGCTCTCCAGGTTACACATACGAGATTCATGTCTCGCACCTGATGCCCTTAGTGGTCACACTGTCGGTTTGCCTTGGGGAAGATCCCACGACATATATTCTCATTCGTCCTTGGCATCCAAAATGGGTTGGAACGCAAACGGGGAGCGAGGTCGACGCTACGTGGGAGCTGCTCGAGCAACTCGAACAACCATTCAACGCACTCCTCCTCATGAGACTACCGCACAACGAGTACAAGAGAATCGCAAGTAATTGTGCGATCACTGCTTGCGTCCAGGACCTGCGTAGTATTGCAGACAGTGAAATCCTAGGCTTGGAAATTGTATAGGTCAGCTCGTAGTGCATGTGCCGGCTCCTTCCGGCAGCAAACGTCCAGCCGAGCGGCAGCCTGAGCACTTTCCTACCACCTGCCAGTAGGCTCGTCACCTCCCCCTCTCAACCTCCTCGCCCACTCGTTTCGCCCACCCACCGCACCCTCTTTTATGTATACCATAAACACCTGTCCGTGGTTAAAATTCAAATTATGCATATTTGGCACCACAGCGTCTATCCACTATTGTGCACGGCCTGCCGGTCAGAGCAAGCAGGTGACCTGCCCTCCCGAGCGGCTCCGCCTGCCTCACCTCCTCCAAGCTATCGCTCGGCCCAGCCCAACCACCGTCAGGCGTTAGTGCGCGTGCGCGAGACGAAGCTGGACCGTAGTCACCTTATGCCGTCTCGTGACATTTTCCAACCTTCTTTCCCGCTGTCCACGCGTTTTGTCAAAGCAGGACCGCTATCTGTGTCGTTCCCTGGTGGATGCTTCCATTTCTGCTTCTGGATGATCGAGTTCCAAAATGACACGAGGTACCACAATAAATGTAGACTTGTCAAGGAGCATTGATTGGCGATAAACAACTTTGGTAGGCGAAGAAGGATCCGCAAAAGCGCCTCAGGGATCAACATGATGGTATGAAAACAATAGGAATTTCATGGCAGATCCACGTGCTGTGAGTCTGTGTGCTTCCCTTCGATCCCACCAGACACCAACGACAGCTAGCGGTAGACGCCTGGTTGTCTTCTCGAAACGTGAAGTCGTGCAGTGGGTGGGTTGACGAACTTAGACGAACCACTGACTAGTGACTCTGAATTCTAGGCGTGCACTTTGAAAGTCCTTGATATCTTGTACAAACTACATATGTATGTAGCATACGATACATGTTAGGTATGTTTTTATTTTACATTTCGAAACAGACAGATTTTTGCAGTGGCTACAGTTTCCACGAGGAGGCATACTTCTGAAGTGTGAGGCAGAAAAGGTGGACCGCAACGCAGATCTGCAAAAGATGATCACTTGAACCGTATAACGTGTAGCATGGAATGGGAAGGGGGAGAATCATGTTGTACGGCACAACTAGGGACACAAAAATGAACATGCGCATGAGCATCGTACATGCAAACGACAAAAGGCAGCAGAGTAATATGATCCATGGCAATGGCCCAAACCTTGCCCGGAGAGTGAGAGGCTGACGCGGCTGTTTAGAATACGGTATTTAGGGTGAAAGGGCTTGCTCTGGCTCTACGGGAATGCCGCAACTGCAGTTGTCCTAATCAATAGACATAAGATGATTACTCCGAGGCACGAAAAGGAGAAAGTACCAACAATCTCCAAGGCCCGTTTCAGGGCCACCAAACCTTTGTCGATACCACGGAGGTCATATTTTATGGAGGATGCCGACTGCAGAAGTTATCAGCTGCAAGCGACACAGGTAGGCCTTTGCACGTACTGTGAGGACCTCGCGCACCTGGCGTATCGAATGTGCGCAGAAAGAAATGATACGGACATCTGTCGATTGAAGGACACGTCGTGCTTCAGGTGTCCTTTGGGCGAGATCCTGGATGATTTCCTGCACCTGGTTTATTTCCCTGGCAAGGTATTAAGTTTATACATGTGACATTCGTCATCATCATACTTCGCAAACTTGCTGACCGCTGCCTGTATATTTGGCGAGAACGTCGCCTCTTTCGCACGGTCAACGGCAGCATTTATCAGCAGCGTAGCGGTTTCCAAAACTTGGAAATGCGCGTGGTACGTTCCCGTCATGGTCTTTAATAAAGGGGTCATCAAATCTCTTCAACATCACGCGCTGACTCACTTGCCTCAATGGACAGAGAAATGCTAAGACATGGTGCAATTGCGTCCTTCAGATAATCGTTATGGGCAACTTCTGGTGCGTCAAACGCGGTCCGCAAAGTAGTTGTTATCTGCGGCAAAGCACTTCGATAACCTTCCACGCTGCAAGTTCCAGAACTGTATATTCCTGTCTCAACGGACTCCGCATCGGTGGGATCATAGGTGAAGGTGACAGTGATCTTCGTCGTCCGATAACTCGGCCTCCCTGTAGCCTTTTTAATCCGTGCGAGAAGTCCTTCGGAGCGGGGCCTGAGACTGAGAAGCCTGTCTAAAATCGTTCTTCCTGCAGATGTTCTGTCAAGCGATAGATGTTTATCTACCATTTCCTGTTGGATTTGAAGCGGGCGGCGCTCAGCCAGCGGTGAAATAGCAACCGAGTTAATTATATCCCAAGCAGATTTGGTGGTCCTTTCGAAGTGGCGAGTGCTTGATCCTAGACTGATCATCGCCTGCCAGAAGTCAGACTGTAGATCCTGTTCGCGTTCCGAGCCGAACTCTTCCCATACTTGATCCCACATCGTGGTAACGAATATGACATTCTTGCAGTTGTCTTTGCCACATAGTTCTTTGAAAATGTTGTAGTTCCTTGACGGTGCCTCTTGAATGCTGGTGTCTGAAATCCGATGGAAATATAGAATACCGCTCAATTTAACGCCTTTTCTATACCTAAAACCTTATCAGAATTGGAATCACTTGCAGCCAAGCGAGCTGCTTACACCGCATTCAACCACTCTGCAATTTCCCAGAGAACCTGGAAATCTGTCATGAATGAATTGTTGCATCCTGGTGTGTCAACCAAAACAATGTCGCGAATGCCGTCGAAGTGGGGAATTCGGACAGGGCACACTTCCTTTGTACGGGAAGTCGACCCACAAAGAGCATCGGGTCTCCCAACTGCACAGTCAATAAACTAGGTACATTGATGAAGGAGAACGCATAGAAACGTGTGGGGTGCTTACTGTGGTCTTTCCCGAGTCAGCAGGACCCATGACACTGCCGTTGATTGTGAGGGCCTGGAATCCATAAGTGAACTACACGGACACACGCAATAATGACATCGTCCGGGCTAATCACAACTTCTTCAATCGGCGATGTTGGAAGCGGAATTTGCTCACTTGCTTCATCGCACCTACTTTCAAGGTCGACGGCGGTGCCATCTCGACGAGTGGTGGGAAGCAAGTGAAGTCTGTCCAGCCAGGTGTTGACATTCCAATTTCTTCTCAGCGGTGTGCGACGATCATCCTCGTACGGCTCGCATTCAGACGCATTGCCCGAAGGAGCTGAAACGATGGTGGCGGCCGCAAACGTGGAGGACTCCCCTTCCACTCCATCAACCCCACGCCTTATTGGAGAGTGAGATCGAGAGTGACCCTAATCCGCTATTAGCTGAAGGAATGCGTGAAGAACAGGTGGGTTTACCTGTGACGGAGACATGAGGAAACGTAGGAAAATGCTGCAAGACGACGGGGCTGGGGCACTGCACTGAATTTGGTATAGCACTACAAGGCAGGACACTCATGGCACGAGGATTACCCAGATGAGAACTTGAACGTGCTAACAGGCAGCCAGCACTCCGCGTGGAAAACAAAAACTCTTCGAGCATGGTCATCCTCGTCCTTGTCACTTCTCGGCGGTGTCCTATGTCCTTTGGGGGGAGGAAAACAGTAGAGAACAAGCCACCTCTCTTTTCTGTGTGTAACGGACGATGAGATTTACATTCAACTGAGACTCATCAAGTCAACGAAGGAAAACACCACGGATTACAACGAAGTACTTGACATACCTCAGGACGCACAACACGAGATATGCAAAGGACTGGAGGGAGGGCAGTGACCACCCTTGTGTTGGAAATATCCTAATAGTTCCGACTCTAGATGCGACTAGACTTAAACATGTATCAACACGTTGTACATCACATGACTATGATTGGTGAGCAGCTCCACAATGATGCAATACTATACATCATATTCCATGACCTTCTATGCTGTTCTTTACTATACATAGATAGCTCTTTCCATATATGTTACTGGTCTGTGCATATAGCTACATGTATATAAACCCGAGGTATCTCAGCCAGAGACCTCAGTGTTATCCCCAAGTGCAGTGACTTCTTCAAATGGAATAGGCACGAAGCACACAAGATGGGAGTCTATGGGCTGAACTTGTCGTAACCCCTATGGCTGAGTTACTGTGATGATCCAACAGAGGTTCTGTCCACTGGCAAGTCCCTAAGGTTGTTCACACAGAGAGAGAACAAGGATAAAGCAGAGGGATGAAGCTCAGTTGCAAGCTATCAAAAAACTGCTGATACAGGATGAAGTATGTAGGATTATATACCCCTAAGTACGAGTACCACATCAGTCATGACAGATGCATTGCGATGCATATATGCAGCAGTAAACAATCCCATCAGTGAAACAAGAAAGAGTCATATGGTGTCAACGATGGGGGCAGGGAGGAAATGAAGGCTATACCAGCAGGCACAATCAATGTGCAGTGAGGAGCCTAACACTGGAACTATAGTACAGCAAGTAAGCAATATAAACGAGTCAATGGAACATGAAGAAAACATGTTGTCCATCAGAGAGGGCGGTGGAGCACCAGACTACCAGGGCTGTGCAGTCTCAGCAGGTATTGGAAATACCTTGACAGCTGGAGATCTGAAAGTTCCCTGGAGCATTTGAGCCCCTAGGATGGTGACAACGACCAGTGACACAATGAGGCATGTGATGCATGTGACTGAGAGAAGTTGAAAAAGGACAGACCCCTGATGGAAGCATAACATCACCCCCCCTCTAAGGTCCTCAGACCCTTGAGGATGGACCAGAAGTTGTATTGGCAGGGCGAGAGGATAGGGGTCGGTGAGTAGTATACATGCAGGAATGCATGCGAGCGGTGATGGGTGACAGAGGTGATGGAGACGGCAGTTCCTCAAGGGCCAGAGTAAAGCAGGAGCCATGTCCGTTACAGCATGACCAATGTCCCAAGTAATGGCATTGGTAGCAGGCATGCTGGAAAAGGACATGGTCAGCAGGGACTGGCGTCTGACCTCTGAGATAGAACCGAAGTTGATCAGTAGGTACGGGGACGAAGGGAGTTGCAGGGAGAGGGTTGGTGGAGTGGACAGTGTTATGGTAACTCTTGTGGGTTCCTGCCCATGACACATCTTGCAGTAGGACCTCCCAAGTGGAATTGTGAGTTCCAGTACCTAAGCAAGCACCAACCTCTTTAAACAGGTCGCCCAAGTCACAAAACCCTAGTTCAACGGAGCACCAATGCCTTTCCTTCTCTTGATCTGCAACGTCTTCCGTTAATTTCGAAGCTGATGGTTCCTCTTGCTTCGGGATTATGTGATCAAGAAGTCGTGTGGTGGGCAGTGCCAAGAACTCCCCTATTTGTTGTTGACGTAAGTGGTGGAAGGCACCACCTGTTATGGCTTCGGTAAGGTCTGAGGAAGCCTTCTCCATCATGTTGATCATGATTATCTTGGAGAGCAGCACAGTCCCACTTAACTTCTGAGTCCTGACCTTAGAGACGAGTCCGTTGATCACATCTGTTGCTCTGTAGATTTGAGACAACATCCCAAAATACTCAACCTGTTCTGGTGAGCACCTGTTAATGTTGTCCCCATCATGGAAGATGTCAAGTGCCCTAACAACGTCCAGGTAGTCACTTGCTGAGACTGGTAATTGCTGCTGGTCAAGCCTGGCAGTGGCAGCCATTGCAAGGAGGTCAAGGGTGGCGCATTGAGCTCTGTTGGAGTAGGTGGTGAAGGCGGTGCGTAGGTCAGCAGGTTGGGCAGCATGGGCGTTACCAGAGGGGGCTGTTGAACTATCGGGGTCATTGTCAGTGCATACCTTTCCCTTTCCCTTTCCCTTTTGGTTACTGTCCTCACTGAGGGGGACTCTGGCCTTGGGGGTGGGGACACGGTGCACCGAGTACCCCTGGAGTGGATGTGGTCCATGAGCCCTGGAGACAGGGGGCGATACCAGATGGGTCTGGGAGACTGGCGAGGAGAGCCTGGAGACATAAAAGCCGGCAGGGGACGTCGGGGGAGAGGTTGGGGCATAGACAGAGATGGGGGGAACGACCCCATTGTTGTCGGCATAGTAAACGGATTCTGTGGGGTAGGGGAGGTCAGTGTAGTAATTCTCTGTGTTGACTGAGCGGGGAGAGTCCATTAAGTTCGGAGGTGTCGAGTGAGTTTGTACTGGTCAAGGGCTTCTGATGCATGGTCTTTTATATGTTCCTTGGGTTTCCATGTATTTGACGAATGGGGAAACCCTTTCCATTTAACCAAATAGCATCTCTTACCTCTGCGACCATCAATCTTGTGATTTAGAATTGACTTGACCTCCCACTCAATTTCATCATCCACCAACTCAGGTAGTGGTGCTGTGGGTGCAGCTCCATATGTTTCATTTTCGACAAAAGGGAAAACCTGGGAGGCGTGGAACAAAGGGTGTACCTTCCATGTTGGTGGAAGGTCCAATCAGAAAGTGACTGGTGACACAACCTGAGTCACCTTGAAGGGTCCGAGATGTCAGGGCGCAATCTTGTTGCACTGGTTCTTGATACGAAGATGCACAGTATCCAGGAGTACCTTGTCTCCTACCTTGGGCGCAGCATAGGACCCTTTTGAGTGCGAACGCATCTGGTCCTGTGCTTTCTTGTGTGTGAGAACAGTGACATCTTGGCTCGAGGCCAACTGTTCCAGCCTTTCATCAACTGACAGGACCAGGGTGAGCCGGACCTCTGGGTATGGAGATGGATCGTATCCAAGGAGGAGGGAAAAAGGTGTCATTTGATGGACGGAATGCACCTGAGCATTGTGAGTGAACTTGGCAGATGGAAGTTTGGCAGCCCACGAGTTCAGGAACTCAGAGCAGTACAGCTGCAGGTATCCTTCCACCTCTTGATTGACCCATTCGCTCTCGCCATTGGTCTGCAGGTGGTATCCAGACGAGAGCTTGGCTTTGACCCCTATTGCCTTGTACAACTCCTTGGTAAAGGATGACATGAACTGGGGTCTGCGATCTGAGATAACTGACTCCAGGATTCCATATCGGGAATAGATGAATTGATGGAACAACTGGGCAAGCCTGACAGAGTCAATAGTTTTATGACACAGAACAAACAGGGCAGCCTTTGTAAGGCCCTGATTGACAACCATGAGAATAGAATTGTATAGTTGATCCCCCAAGACTGGGAGATTGGTGATGAGATCCATAGACACTTGCTGAAATGGAAACACAGTCTTTGGAGTTTTGTGGGGAATGACAGGGGGTGTTGGTGGATGAGTAATGACCTTCGTGGTTTGGCACATGGTGTGAGTCAAAGTGAGGTTCAGTGGTGAAAACCAACCAAAACCAACACAAAAGACAATGAAAGCGAGTGGTGGTGTGCCTATGCAGTACCTAGATGGTAGAACCTGTTCTTTGGGAGGGTTTTTGTGAGCTACAACACTCAAAGACGAGTGCTGAGGGTTGGGGGTGCTCCTGATGAAGAGGGAGCAAGAATGTGATAGAAAGCAATAGGGTAGACTGCTGTCAGCCTACAGAAGGATGGATGGTGACTTAATTCAATGTCCTAAGCTGTACTGAGCTCAGGGAGGGCTTGGAGCAAAGTATATGGATGATAGATGATGATAAGCGAAGTAGATGATAGCTAGACCCTTAATAAAGTCTCAACTATCAAAGCTGATGAATGATTTACTGAGAGATGATAAATTGTGAGCAAGAGGGGCTCTCTGATGTCTTCTTTTTTTTGCTACCTAAGTACAGTGACTTATATACAGTACAGGGGCATTGCCTATGGGAAACAAGGTGCAAACACTTGGTAAGCGATTGGTAACTGATGAGTAAGGAATGTAAGCGATGGGTAATCATCTTGGAAAGCATTGGTAAGCATTGGTAAGGATAAGTAAGCCAAAAAGCGAAGAATCAGTAAGCAAAGTCAAAAGATTGGTAAGTATTGGCAATAGGTGAGTCAAAGACAGTCAGAATGTCACAGTATGAGTCAAGTAATGTCAGGAACTGGGAAAGTGCACTGGAATCGCATTAGGGGGAGGCTGTGCATGTCACATCTTGAAGAGATTGCTTCTAGGCCAAAGTGGGATGACAGAGAGGCAGCGCTGATCTGATGCCAATATAGTACATC